GATCAGGCAGGAACAGAAACAGGTGGCAGGATCCAGACTTCCAGGCATCCACAGGCTCCCAAGAGGGTACAGAGTCTGACTGGGACCAGAAGCATGACCAGGTGGTCACGCACAGGAGCAGACAGGATCAGGTGCAGACAGGCAGGCAGGCTCAGTGGAAGAGGGTAGCCGAGACAGGACGTGGAACCGGAACTTGATGCAGGACTTTAAACTGGTCTCCTCCCTGGAGCCAGGCTTACTGAGATAAAAACTGAACCTCCCCACATATTGAGCCAAAAACCCAGAGGACTCCGCGGGGGAGGAACAGTGGACGATCAGAAGACGAGACAAACATTAAAACCCTCTTTCCACTGGCTGCCAGGATCCAGGACACGAACCAAGGAACAAAAGTAACAGACAGGCTAAACAGAAAGACAAGTAATGACCTGGCAGTGAAAGGTCAGGCTGAACTGAATATAAACCAGAGGAAACAGGTGAGGGGAATAAATGATAATTGAGGCAGGGAGGGAAAACAACAGGTGAGAGAAATAACCAATTAGGGGGGAGCAAACAGGCCAGATCATGACAGAAAAAGCCGTTCAGCTCATCTGAAATCCAGTTCAAAGGAGATGTGAATTATTTTGATGCTGACTGGGCATCAGGCTCTGGGTTTGTAAAAGTTGAAACTTGAAGTGTTTGGGTTGGTTTCTCTCTACTGATATAAAAGACTTCTTCACTCCTCTCTCAAACCATCTTTCCCAAAATGCAAACAGTTTGGTAGCAGAGTCGTAGAGATTGAGGCTGCATATCAGGAGAAAAGACAAGTTAGATGGCTGCAAATATCTCTAAAGGAACTATACAGCTGGATATTCGATCTTTCCATCAGCCTGATGATGATGATGTCATTTTTCAGGATGATTATATACCTATCCACTAAACACTACTGCATACCAACACTAATGTTTATAGATTTAGTCAGTTAATGCATGTGGCACAGCCCTCAGAGGTTGCAGAATTTAAAATAACTGGAAATGTTGTAAAAACTGCAATAGCACATATATTTAACTTCACAAATATCTGTCCAGCAGCCTGCTTCATTGATTCAGTTTGGTTCAGATGGTCGATACTGTACCAAATCACAGCACATGTCATCTGAAGGCACTTTATAGAGACAGTTCAATCAGATCAGTGAAAATGCACTCCACCTCTATGACCGGTGGCGACAGAAGGCAGCTGCTTCTATCGTATCCTTAAATCTGCTGCAATCTCTGATGCCTGAGATTTGATCTCAATCTTACTCATGAAGACTGCGATGAAATCAATCCATTTTTTTTAACTTATTTTGATCTGAGATGTCCATACCTCAAAAAATGTAATCATAGAAGCTGCAAAAAAAAATTTTTTTTCCTCTAATGATTTAATAGTTTAGTGTTTGTCTACCTAAAGTAGGGGATGCGCCCCCTAGGGAGGGCTTAATGCTATTACAGGGGTGGCCTGATAGAGTTTAAGTCAACTAATGAATAATTTGAAGACGTAATTTAAAAAAAATACTTACGTAAGTCAATAGTGAACTCTGTTTAAAAGTAAAATCAATTTAAACTTAATAATAAGTAAACGTTAACTTATGTCTCCAAATTTGCAGCCTTGTTCTTCCACAGTTAGGCTAGAAGAGATTGTGAGATTAGATTTTAGAGTTTTTCTGCTACTGAGCCTAAAATAGGTCAAACTTATGGAAACCACATAACTTATTTTGTTTAAGCATATTCTCCAGGGTTTTAGTGTATAAATGAAAATGATAGCAAACTAACTACACTGCAAAAACCATCTAGAAAGAAGTAAAAAATTATCTTAAATTAAATATATTTAGCCATATTTTTAGTAGGTAAATCAGATGATTTGCCAATGGAATGAGTATTTTACTCTTTGAATAAGAAAATTAGATAATATTCATTTGAAATAAACAATTACTTTTTCTTATTTTAAATCTAAATTGTCTTGTTCCATTGGCAAAATGTCTCACCTCGTAAAAAAAAAAAAAAATGCCCTTATTTTAAGGAAAAAATTACTTATTGAGTTTTCTTTTTTTGCAGTGTAGCCGCACACTGCAAAAATGATCTAGAAATAAGTAAAAATGTCTCAAATCAAGTGTATTTAACCTTAATTTTAGTAGGTAAATGGGATGATTTGCCAATGGAATGAGTATTTTACTCTTAAAATAAGGTAATTGTATAATATGCACTTGAAATAAGACAATGCAGTTCCTTTTTCTTATTTTAAATATAAATTGTCTTGTTCCATTGGCAAAGTGTCTCACCTACCTCCTCAATTCAAGAACAAATGCACTTAGTTTAAGAAAAAAATTACTTATCTAGATTTCCATTTTTTGCAGTGCACACTGCAAAAACGATCTAAAAATGAGTAAAAATTGATCAAATTGAGTGTATTTACCCTTAATTTGAGCAGGTAAAATAGACGATTTGCCAATGGAATAAGTATTTTTACTCTTAAAATAAGATAATTAGATAATATACACTTGTAATATGGCAATATAATTGTTTTTACTTCTTTTAAATTTAGATTATCTTGTTCCATTGGCAAAGTGTCTCACTTACCTCCTTAGTTCAAGAAAAAATTCACTTATTTTAAGAAAAAAATCACTTATTGAGATTTGAATTTTTTGCAGTGCATCCAGAACAATATCTGTGAACAGGTGGAGTCCATTCAGCATGTTTGCCTTAATGAGTATGTTTTCTATATGCTGATCACCTAAATGTGCAGGATATGTAAGCGTAATCCTGACCAACCGCAGTCTGATGTAGTGGTCAGAGCGCCTTCTGTCAGGGAGCCCCAGAGCAGCTGTGGCTACAATGTAGGTTAGAGTCCTTCGACTTGTTAAAGTGCTCTATAAGGGCGGACCATTTACCCATTAAACCTGAAATGGATTGCAGGTCATCTGCGCAGCCTCAGCCTGCAGCAACTCTTCGCTGTGCTCTAGCTTCAGAAGTTCTATGTGATCCTGCACTGGAAAAAATCTAAATCTAGATAAGTCATTTTTCTTAAAATAAGTGCATCTCTTCTTAAATTGAGGAGATTAAAGAGGCATTTTGCCAATGGACCAAGACAATTTAGATTTAAAATAAGAAAACACAACTGCATCTTCTTATTTCAAGTGCATTTCATCTAATTATCTTATTTTAAGGGTAAAAATGCTCATTCCATTGGCATATTGTCAAATTTACTTATTCAAATCAAGGGTAAATACACTTAATTTAAGAAATTTTTACTTATTTCTAGATCATTTTTGCAGTGTGATCTATGCACTGGAAAAACGATCTAGAAATAAGTGCAAATTGCCAATGGAAGGAGTATTTTTACTCTTAAAATGAGATAATTAGATAATATTCACATGAAATAAGACAATGTAATTGTGTTTTCTTATTTAAAATCTAAATTGTCTTGTTCCATTGGCAAGATGTATCCTTTATCTCCTCAATTCAAGAACAAATGCACTTATTTTAAGAAAAAATTACTTATCAAGATGTTGATTTTTTGCAGTGTGGGCTAAAGAAGAACCCTAGTGTAATACAGCAAGATTCCTTTAAACTCTTTCACGGTGTCCGGTCTTCACCAGAGCTCTTTGGTTATTTCAAATGTTTCACTTAATTATCCTCCGCAGTTTACAGTTAGTCCTTATCTAAACCTTGCCTTATTTCTTTTTTTTTTTTGTTGGTCCCTTGTCATCAGTTCTCTGCTGTATTCATCAGGTTCCTGTCTCTCTGTGTCCCTGGGTTCTTTATAAAATAATCATTTACCATCATGCATCTCTTGATGTTTATGAGATTATTTACTTACAGTATCTAAGCATAGCTTTTCACACATCTATGGAGCTAAAAAAGTGTAAATGATGATCGCAGTGAGAGAGAAAAAAGCTCTCATCTTCTGTTGGATTTTCTGTAAATCCTCTTTTGAGAAATAATTTTTTTGTTCCTTTCTCTTTATAAACACGGTCTTTAAGGAGCAGATTTTTTCCAACCATAAAAAAAAAAATGCATTATGGTCGTCTGGAAAGATGACATTTTAGAATGAGTTTGTTCTCAGGAACTGAAGCAATGACAGCTGTAGTGATCCAGATCCTTCTGACTCTTTGTGCCTCAAAGTCACCCGATAGGCATGATGTCCTGAGATTTTCTAAATCATACTAACAGAGATGGTTCTTCCCCTTCTCCTCTTCCTGCATTGTCTACACATGGCGATCATACCTGCCATCTATGTGCAGTACTGCTGCATAATGCAGCTTCTTTTCGGACCACTCTACTCTCACATACTTATAAAGAACAGCCATTTGCAAACAAAAAATCCTCTTTAACATGAGACTACCAGTTTTTGCACCTGTTGCCTAATGTGTATGTAATCTTAGTTTAACTCCAACATGCTCACTATTTGCATGTACAATCTTTTGTTTGCACAACAATTTTACCGTTCCTTACTTAGCAGATTAGATCTTATGAGTAAACGTCATTTAAGATACATTTTTCTCCTAAACTGTTGTTCTTTTCAACTCTGCAGAGAACCATGCAGGTTGTTGCACATGTTATCACTGGAAAAAACTAAATCTAGATTAGTAATTTTTTCTTAAAATAAGTGTATATGTTCTTGGATTGAGGGGGTAAAATAGACATGTTGCCAATGGAGCAAGACAATTTACACCTAAAATAAGAAAACGCATTTGCATTGTCTTATTTCAAGTGCATATTATCTAGTCTTCTTATTTTAAGAGTAAAAATGCTTATTCCATTGGCAAACTACCTCATTTACCAACTCAAATTTAGGGTAAATTCACTTAATTTAAGAAATTTTTACTTGTTTCTAGATCGTTTTTCCAGTGCATATTTATTATATCTTTGGTTTAATCTTTAAGTCATTTTACAATAAATTTACTCAAGCAACAGCAAATGCTTTTGGTCATGACTAATTGTATTGTTACTCATAATTTCACATCTTTCCTTTTTCTTTTTTTTTAGCTACATTGAAAACCAAGCAGATCTGGAGAATATTACAGAGACTGACCTTGTTTTCTACAGAGAGCTGAGAAATCTGTAAGTGATTCACATTTCTTCTCCTTAAACTTAGGATAAAGATCTAATGATGAAGTCAAATAAATCACCTCCTGTTGTCACTGCTGTAAATCTCTGTTCTTATGTTTCTTTCAACAATGCAAAGTTTAATGTGTCTGCTCAATATCCTCAATGTTGACTTAAGTTAGTATCACAGTGCAATAAAAGTTGGGTGCGTTTAAACCAGAGGTGGGGAGTAACTACAGTAGTTACATTTACTTGGGTAACTGTTTAACAAAAATTTACTTTTAGGAATATTTTACTCCAATAATTCCCTCTAACGACCCCCTTTCAGAGACATAGACAGGTATCAGGTATTGCAGGCAAAAAAAGAACCCCAACGACCCCCCTTCCAAAGGGATGGATCCATTCTTCCTGTTCTATTTGCATGTTTTCTAAGCCAAAACAAGCCTTTGTTTTTGGTTCACTCTATAAACCCTCAAACTCAACGCTATATCTGACATTTTGAATTGAAAAAGCTGGGAAGTGAAACGTCTCCAGTGGATTGTTTAAATTTTTTGGAATACTTGGGTCGAATCCTTTTTTACTCTTAAATATGACAACATATGATGAAGTAGTGTTACTCTTGCATGAGTAAAATGTTTGTTTTTTCTACCCACCTCTGGTTCAAACAAAGGAAAGCCTGGTTGATTCATTTAGGTTTAAGATTCCTCTGAATTTCTGAAAATTGTTTTCTGTTTTCCATTTCAGCACCATCACATCGTGTAAACTGAGGCTTATCTCTCCAAATGCTTTTCAAAGAAACCTCAAGCTGCAGTATGTGTAAGTGTTTTGGTTGAGAAAGAGGAGCTATCTATCCATATATGCTGTGGTTTGGCTCTATTTGCTTGTCATCTCTTTAATGTTCATATTTGAAGTCTTTCTGAATTAATCAACTAACAATGCAAACACTGAAAAAAATCGAAATCTAGATCAGTAATTTTTTCTTAAAATAAGTGCATTTGTTCTTGAATTGAGGAGGTAAAAGAGACATTTTGCCAATGGAACAAGACAATTTACACCTAAAATAAGAAAACACAATTGCATTGTCTTATTTCAAGTGCATATTCTCTAGTTATCTTATTTTTAGAGTAAAGATACTCATTCCATTGGCAAACTATCTTATTTACATACTTAGAATAAGGATAAATACACTTAATTTAAGAAATTTTTACTTATTTCTAGATCGTTTTTGAAGTGAAGAAAAAAGGAGGGGTGATGGTGGGGGGGCACCAAAACAATTAATTGTTCCCAGAAAAAAAGTCCTCTAATTCAAAGATTAGAAAATAGTTTTAACTGTTTTTGTTCAGCAGTATTCATTGCCATTAAAATCTATATGAACATTTTTACTCAAACAACGATGAATTTAAGCAGGTCTTTTAAGGATGTTGCTCCAGCTGCTTTGCACGTCTAGAGTTTAAGTCAGTTTAAGTCAATTAATGAATAATTTGGAGACGTAATTAAAAAAAAAACCCCACTTAGGTCAATGTTGAATTCTAACAGTAAAATCAAGTTAAACTTAATAATAAGTAAACGTTAACTTATGTCTCCAAATTTGCAGCCTTGTTCTTCCACAGTTAGGTTAGAAAAGATTGTGAGATTACATTTAAGTTTTTCTGCTACTGAGCCTAAAATAGATCAAACTTATGGAAACCACATAACTTATTTTGTTTAAGCATATTCTCCAGGGTTTTAGTGTATAAATGAAAATGATAGCATGCAACAAAACCTTTCTACTAACTACACTGCAAAAACAATCTAGAAAGAAGTAAAAAATTATCTTAAATTAAATATATTTAGCCTTATTTTTAGTAGGTAAATCAGATGATTTGCCAATGGAATGGGTATTTTACTCTTTCAATAAGAAAATTAGATAATATTCATTTGAAATAAGACAATACAATTACTTTTTCTTATTTTAAATCTGAACACTGGAAAAAAATCGAAATCTAGATAAGTAATTTTTTTCTTAAAATAAGTGCATTTGTTCTTGAATTAAGGAAGTAAAGGTGACATCTTGCCAATGGAATGAGACAATTTACACTTAAAATAAGAAAACACAATTGCATTGTCTTATTTCAAGTGTATATTATCTAATTATCTTATTTTAAGAGTAGAAATTTGGCAAACTATCTCATATACCTACTCAAATTAAGGGTAAATACACTTAATTTAAGAAACCTTTACTTATTTCTAGATTGTTTTTCCAGTGAATTGTCTTTTAAGGATGTTGCTCCAGCTGCTTTGCACGTCTACAGGTTGAACATGTTTTCCATTCTGGGGAAACTCTCCACTTTCTTTTTAAAGACATGTCTTTTTGCAGATTCTTGGGGGTATTTTGGTTTGGACCTTCAGCCACTTAAACAGATGGACATGCCATGATGGAAATAATTTCTGTTGCTTTGGCGGAGTGTTTTATGTTGTTGTCCAGTATGAAGTTCAATTCAATTCTGTTTATTTCTATAGCGCCAATTCACATCATGTCATCTCAAGGCACTTTACAGTTCAACCAGATCATCCAGTCAGATTGATTCAAAGTTTTCTATCTAAGGAAAACCAGTTGATTGCATCGACTCATTGACTCTTCAGCAATCCCTCACACTAAGCATGCTTGTAGCGACAGTGGAGAGGAAAAACTCCCTTTTAACAGGAAGAAACCTCCAGGCTCAGTGTGAGCGGCCATATGCCGAGGCCAACTGGGGTTCAAAGTTGAACCTTTGCCACAATCACTGATCTTTTTTTAGCTTTCAACTGTCACTTTATTCCTGTATTTATTTTTTCCCACCTTATAGTCATTTCCAATCTGTTTCTTGTGCCTGCTGAAGAAAAGCAAAATCCTTCCATCCATTTTCTGTCTCGCTTCAACCCAGCTGGTGTTGCGAAGGGTGCTGGTGCCGATCTCCAGCTGTCTACGGTCGAGAGGCGGGGTCCACCCTGGACAGGTCACCAGTCCATCGCAGGGCAACACAGAGACAAACTATCATTCACACACACACTCACACTTAAGGAGAATTTAGAGAAGCCAATTAACTATGTAAAACCATGTCCCTGAAGGCTGCTACTCTAGTTCATGCTGTCCAAGGTGGACAGTCATGCTTTAGGAGGTTATTGGTTTCATAATGGGTTGAACAGCACTGGTGACCCAATGACCACTGGAGGCACCGGCTCCCCCATGATCCAGCAACTTAAGTGGATTAAAACTGCTGTGTTCTGTGCTCTTTGTTCTTTAATGTTCTCTAGCAAATTTCTTAGACCTTCAGACAGCAGCTTGATGCGTTTTTAAGTTTTTTGCATGCAAAAATGGGTGTTGAGAGATCCTGCAGGATGTTTTGTCCGTCTAGTGCAGTGTTAAATGTACATTCTGTGTCTAAACCTTGAAGCTTTCTCTCTCCGGTTTGTTTTCCTGAAAAGAGATCAATCTCTTATACAAACTCAATAACACTTGTAATTATTTAGCATCCGGATAGACGAGTCCGACCAGCGCCATCTCACTGCAGAGTCCGTCGTGGTGGTAGACGTGTGAGCAGGTAGATCACATCAGAGCGTCGGGTCGCACAGTGTGAGAACATACATCGCGAGCTGTGAACTTTTAAACCCTTTGGTTTGTTCGTACAGTGTGAGCTGTAGCTGCGTGCAACGATTGAAAAAACTGTAGTGTATGCGCGGCTTTAGGAACCAGTTGTAACACAAAAAGCAGCTTGCCAAAGGTTCCTAGGTCCACACTGAATGTGAAATAACTCACATTGGGGGAATCCACATGCTATCATAGCTGCGTGCGTAATTCAAACGGTTTGTTGCAAATTAGCAACAATAGGCATCAAGGGTTTAGAAATTTTGAAGTATCCGAATGGGGGCTGAATAACGATGCACTAAATAGTTTTCTTTTCCTGTTGGGCAGAATAAAATGAAAAGAAGACATTATTTAACATATATCCACCACATGGTCTAGCTCATAAAATCCTTACCAAAGATTTAATGATAAAGTGATCAAAATACTTATGTACCATAGAGTGAAAATCATTAAAAAAACATATTAAATGCTTAGTTTTCGTCATGGATCATTTTGACCAACGGATTCAGAAACACGCTGCTGTTGCGATGCCCTTTTAAGTTCATTGATACTGTTTTCATTTGTTTTCCTTTCGGACCGTCTGGCCTCACATCTTGACTGAAACATATCAAATGAAGCCATCGGATCCATCCATCCACCAACAGCTGACTCTTATCGGCACCATCTTGTCCTCGTCGTTTTACTGAGCGTGTGCAACATGTCCAGTGTTGTTTATCTGAAAGACGAGTGTTTTTTTTTTTCCAAGGGACCAGAGATGTTGGTCGGGAAGGCGGAGGGGAGCTGGGAGGCTCAAGAAATTGGAGAAGACATCCACCAGTCACCTTTTACTCGCTCACTTTGGCGGATTATCGACAACTGATGCATAATAAATACACTCCACTAAGGGTCCATTATCACTTAATCAATATTTCACTGTGGGAGAGGGGCCAGCTAGGCTTGCAGGGAGAGTGGGGGGTTTCTGCCACAGATGAGCTCTGAAAGAGAGGAAAAAAACAAATCAGTAAAAACATTTTCTCCTTCTGCTCTCATCTAAACACAAACCTCCCAGATTTGCTAATATTTCTTCTCAACAGCAGCTAAAAGTGATCGAGCTGCTATTCCCGGCTTGGCTCTTCCCCCCGCGGACTCCAGGAGGAATTGAGCCGGTAATGGATAAGCCCCAATGGCTAAACCATCTGACATGAACTTTTGGGAGCAAGGAAAACAAATAATTGAACCCATGGCCCTGTCACAGTGATTATGTACTGGTTTCCATGCACACGCTCCCCAGTGTGGCTTTCTGTTATCTTCTGAGGGAGGTTTATTTACAGCCTCTCAAAGTCTGAGGATCATTTGAGCTCCGCTGTGATGATATTTAAGTGGCCTGAGAGGATTGACCAAAAAATCGCAGTTATAATACGAGCGAGACCCCGGCATGCAGGGACAAAGTGTTTGATTTATCTGGTCAAATTATGTGTAAACGTAAATAATTATGAGTTTTAGGTTGGAGCAGTAATGGTCCTTCCTTTTTCTTCAAAGGAAATGGATTTTCTTATTGTAGTTCAGCTGGCTTTCTTAGGATCCTATGGTTTTTACTTCTTTTGGACTTTTTTATTTTTAGGATTTTTACACGTCTTTCACCATTTTCAAAACTTCAAGAGATGGTTGAAAGACCTCAGATTTTGTATTTATATATATATATATATATATATATATATATATATATATATATATATATATATATATATATACATTGAATCTGAATTTGTTGCTTTTTAAGCGCGGGTGAAAGACTCAGAGCGGAAGCACTGTTGGTTTTTGGGTTGTGTAGTTTTTTTGACTCGCATTATAATGTACTACAAAATGGCGGCGCCAGTACTGGATTTTTTTTCTTTCTATTTTATTTTATTTTTTGGCATCGATCCTAGTTTTTTTTAGTTACTATTTGTTTGCTCCCGCTCCCGTCTGCTCCCGTTAATGTTTAATCCTGTACCGTCCCAATCACGTGATCGTTACTAATACTGACTCCCATCCCACGGAAAATCCCACGGGAATCCCACGGGAATCCCGTGACCCGTGGGATTCCCGAAAAAATGTCAGTCTCTAATGCACATCCTTGTGACGGCTGGCATATGGTGTAATTTTCTATTTCTTGACTGTAAAATCAAAATGTAAAATCCTTGCAACAAACTAAATTATAATAAAACTAAAATGCGATCTTTGAACCAAACCTGTTCCTCTTATATTTGGAGAATTTATGTTTGAATATTTTGTAAAAATATGTTGCGGTGCATGATGGGGTTTTGCATCTAAAGGCTGACGTTTCCCGTCTTATCTACATTGTTGCCAGGTTGGGTTGTTTCCCAATCTGGCAGTTTAGGATGGCCGTCTATGGGTAAAAAAGAGATCAATAAACTTTTGTTCAAATTGGGAGAGATTTTGTATATCCAGGCGGTTTATGAAAATTTTGGGGGCTGCAAAACGTGACTCAGTGACTTTCTATAACAAGAAAAAGTGTTTATCGATGTTTATTTGAGGTTTTTATTATATTTAACATCATTACTGATTAATCTAAGTCATTACTAAGGACAGGATAAACCTTTGCCAGTTATAGCAGACAGTGTTGCTATAAGAAGAACTGTTTGTATAGAAGCACTAATTAGCTAATGTACTGAGCACTGAGCAGAGGTGTGCTGGCAGCATGTTCATGACTGTTGGTCCCACTCGGTTTGAAGTACCTGCCAAGGTAATTGATCAGAACCTGTTTGGATGCATTAATGCTTTCCACTGACTCAAATCCAGCACCACAGTTCAGTGATTGAAAATAGCATATTTTCCTTAAGGGTTTCTCATGTTACTTTGTCTTTGTGGAAACATTTACGCTCCTCCTCAAACCCTAAAGTAAGCAAGTGGAAGTTTACATCTGTCCATTGATCTTCTTCTTATCTTGTTGCTTAGAAATGACCGATCTGTTACTGAAAAACCTGTTAGAATCAGGCAAGCAGTGTTAGAACTTCCAGCTCTGTTACTGTTTGACAAGTTAAATAAATCTTGTTCTGTTTTCTTTTTCTTTCACAGCAACCTGGCGTCCAACACCCTGGAACATATCAGCTGGAGAGTGTTTCATTTTCTCCCTCTGCTCAACCTGTGAGTCAGTTTCCAATTCTGCAAAATACTTTATTTTAATGGTGAATAAAAACATAGCTGGAAGTTAAGATAAAATTCTTTCAATATTCCTTATTTCATCTCTTTTTACGTTTCCCAGATATACCTGTGATTTTAAACTGATTATTTGTTTTTGAGGCTTTTAAATTGTTCTCCATTCTAATGACTTTAATGAACAATTTCTTACATTTCTTTTTGTTGTTGTTGCTTAATACTTAAATCTTTTAATCTATAATGATAAAAGGCATTATCCCAGTTCAGCGCTAAAATATGCTAACTGTGTGTCTGCAAAGAGCCAGAATCCGACCCTGACCACCCAAAGTTCAACTTCCTACTCTGCCAACTTCAACTTCAGATTCTGTCCATGAACCCCACAAAAGAATCAATCAATGGGCTCTGATAGAATACAGCTCCAACCTACCAGCCTCATTCCATTCATTATGGATTTTGTTTTGATCATAAAGATGAGAGATGACCGGTAAAACATTCCTGGTGTCAAAAAAATCCTATTTTTAATAAAAACTAAAAAAGTTTAAGTTCTACATTGTACAATCATGTTAAATAACTTTTAGAAAGTATTCTTTACAAAAACATTTCAATGCATAGGGAATAGGGTGATTCTTCTCTTTTGCTCTCTGTGTTGGGACACTGCAAAAACGATCTAGAAATAAGTCAAAATGTCTTAAATTGAGTTTATTTACCCTTAATTTGAGTAGGTAAATGGGATGATTTGCCAATGGAATGAGGATTTATACTCTTAAGATAAGGTAATTAGATAATATGTACTTGAAATAAGATGCAATTGTTTTTTTTTCTTATTTTAAATGTAAATAGTCTTGTTCCATTGGCAAAGTGTCTCACTTGCATCTGCAATTTAAGAAAAAATGCACTTATTTTAAGAAAAAATTACTTATCTAGATTTCGATTTTTTTTTCCAGTGTAGAGAGAACATAAAACAATACGGATTCTGTCTAGTTTTATTCTAATTAGAAATTTTAGAAAGGATAATTTAAACTGAATTAAATGGTAATCCACCATTAGCAGCTGAATACTTTGAGAGCGCTGTAATTCACTGTTTGCATCTTTTCTAAACAAAAACAAGGCTCTGTTGGGCTACTCTATAAACCCTTAAACTCAATGCATTTTCCAACATTTTGAATTGAAAAAGCTTCCTGGATGGGAAGAGAAATGTCTTCAAACTTGGAAACAAAGTCCAGTGGATGTTTTTTTTTTTACTTTTTTGGACAGCATTAAGGTTGCCACTAGCATTTGGAGAGCAATTTTCAAGCCAAACCAGCCCAAAGTGAATAAGAAATGTGATTCCGCTGTCATTTGAGCATTCAGATCAGCGACACACAAGGCTAATGTTCTCTAAAAATAAAAAAGATCATAAGAGGTGGAAAAAGATCTTAAATAGTGTTTTACGATAGAGATGATAGCATAGGTGCTCGATCTTCAGTGACTTTTATTGCTTATGTGTTTCTTCACTTGCTTATTAATAAGTGGATATTTACTGTACAAGGTCTTAATCTACCATACAATCTATATTCCAATCTTTTCGAGGTTCGAGTCTCGGTTTGTGGGTGGATGGTTTGAAAAATCCGACCCATGCAGGACTCTGGCCTGAGTATCTGATGAGGATGCAGGCCTCAATGCCTCACGTTGAGCTTTTGGGTATATCCCATTGGCAGGGTGCAGAGTCCTCTCCCTGGAAGGACCACTTATTCCATCTGACCTTGAAATGCCTTAAGATTCCCCAGGAGGAGCTGGAGAGCATTTCATTCCTGATGGATGGATGGAAGGAAGGAAAATTGTTCCTGTTGCATTTTGATGACTATTTCTTAGATCTTCCTCTTTTCTGGACCAATTTTGTCACAACAGCAAACTTTCTTATTTTGTTTGTGGATTATCTTGTGCCTGACTTGAGTTTCTGTTGAGGTTAGAATCAAGCTAGCTTTTTTAAATTAGTTTTGCTTTTTAAAGTTTACTAGAAAACTGGTTGAGCTTATGCTGATTGAAATCCGAGTTATAAAGCAATTCTAAATCCTTCACTTGTTGGTTTTCTTGTGCTCATTATTTTAGGATTTTAAGGGAAAACCCTCTGATTTGCTCGTGTGACCTCTATTGGCTGCAGCAGTGGCAGAACGATGATCGTGGCGACGTCTACAGCCAGATGTTGTTCTGTTTGTCCGGCGATGGGGAAATACCACTCAGCTCTTTGGTGATAGACAACTGCAGTGAGTTTAGATTTTATTTATGACATTTCATGCTTTCGTTTGGGACTTTGTTAGTATGCTGGAAATTTTGAGAATAAAGGAAAAGTCCGGTCAGCAAAGAATAATCAATGGATCACTATTTAGAACTAAAACTAATACGTTTGCATCGATTTGATGAATTTAGAGTTAATCGGTAAAAAAAATTAAAATATTTTTCATCGCGATCACAGAGTCTGGAAGCGGCCATTTTTACCCAAATATAGTAACCCCTCCCTCCTGCCATCTTCCAGCAGTGACGTCACGGTGCGGTAAGCCTAGAGCCATTCTCCACACTTTACAAGCAAAATCAATGGGAACTACTAGACACATCTGCAATCAACAACAATTATTGAAGATTTCCAGAGGACTTCACTATTTAAATTCACCAGAGCTATAGTGAAACTGACAATGCCCACGTGCATGGCAGATGGATGTTGGAATACATCAATAAAAAGTGGGCGGGTTCGTCGTTGGATTGCCAACTTGAAGAGGGAGGATTTGCCATAGAAAAGAGGAAAAAAAAATGTAATATGTAGCCAACATTTGGAAGAAGAATGTTTTCAAGATGACTTGGATAATAGGGCGATACAGCACTGGGACTTGATCAACAGCCGATACCGTACCGTGAAGTCACAAACCAGTAGGTGGCAGTAGTGTTCTTTGACAAACATGGAAGCCTCATTCAAAAGAAATTACTCTTAATTTACAACACTTATTATTTATTGAACAGTATGTAATAATTTCATATCTAAAGTACTTTCAGAAGTTTGAATTCTGAATATGACCGGACTTTTCCATTAATATATAAAGTTTTAAGCCATATGAAGCTTGATTTGCCAATTTTAAACATATCAATGCTTAGTTGCTTTCATTGTGTTTTGTTCTGCCTTTGCTTAAAAATAACAAGCCCTTATAGTTAATATTAGTGTTGCACCAATACAGATACAAGTATCGGGCAGTTTGCATCAATCACTTTGTATTAGTCTTTTTCCTGCTTCAAAAAGGTAGGCAGCAGCTTGACAAAGCCATGATGGCAACTATTTTACAGCCCAGTAGTATGCAGTTCTTCATATACGTATACACACACACATCAATTTCAAACAGATGGTATCGGTGCCAAAAAATGACATTGGCACAACACTGGGTAATATGAACTTTATTTATTTGGCCTTTAAGTCATAGTTGACTGACTGTTGGAAAGATAAGTGTTGATTTACTAGTTAGTCTCATCTTGTCTTCTTCTCTGATCTCAGATTTGCCTGAAGTGACCATATCCTCATCTCAACTGAAGACTCAAGAGGGGGGAAACCTCACGTTTGAATGTCATGTGACAGGAAGTCCCACCCCCAATGTGAAATGGCAAACTAAAGAACTTGCCTCTGACTACGTTCTGCAGGTAGGAAAAGCAGAGCTGTTCCGTTTTTCATTATCATTTTAAAGTGGTGCAGTTTTTCTTTGAGATTATCTTGTTGGTCAAACACTGTTTACACCAAGACTATAATGTTTTCACTTTGAAATTCTATTAATATTGTAAAACTAGATTTCAAGCTTGTACATCCGACTTTGTTCCTTACTTGTCTTGTGAGGCTGAGATTTTACTTTTTACTCTGCATCAATATTTAGCTTGAGAACCACGTATTGACCTTTTGTGGCCCTGCAACCAGCACAGCTAAGTTTGGGCTCAATTTAGAGTTTTCAGCATCTTATTTTCCTGCTTTTTTACTACTCTAGAAGGCAACCTTTGCTGGGTTCAATGTGAAAGCAGTGTGGTGAATAATTTATAACCAAGAACAGGTTAGCGTTTTCATTAAAACTGTATGATGAAGAGTGTTTATTGGAGGAAACCAGAGGACTGACCAGACATGTTTATCCCTGATGCTGCCAAGAGCATTACAATAACTTATTTGGGGCGCTGCCAACCTATTGTGGGTCCGATAAAGTTGAAGCCTCATGTGTGTCCAGCTTTACTCTTTTGATGACTAAGCCACACATATGTGCATCTAGCCCAACAAAAGCCCCATAGAAAAGCTACCTTTACCGCAACCGCTTTTCCACATGTATCACTTCAGACGCTTATGGGCAGAGACTATAATAATATGAAAGACCGTGGAACATCTGTTTCCTGTCCTCATGTTTTTTTAAAACAGCGAAGAGTCTACATATATATATATATATATATATATATATATATATATATATATATATATATATATATATATATATATATATATATATATATATATACATATACATATACATATATATATACACACATATATATATATATATATATATATACATATACATATGTATATGTATATATATGTATATATATATATATATATATATATATATACATATATCTGTAAATATATATATATATATATATACATATGTATATGTATGTATATATATGTATATGTATATATACATATATATGTAAATATATATATATACATATTTATATGTATGTATATATATATATACATACATATACATATGTATATGTATATATATATATGTATATATACATATATATGTAAATATATATATATACAGGTGCTGGTCATAAAATTAGAATATCATGAAAAAGTAGATTGATTTCAGTAATTCCATTTAAAAAGTGAAACTTGTATATTATATTCATACATTACATACAAACTCATATATTTCAGATGTTTATTTTGTTTAATTTTGATGATTACAAATGACAACAAATGAAAATCTCAAATTCATCATATCAGAAAATTAGAATATTGTGAAAAGGTTCAAAATTGATGGCCCCTGGTGCCACACTCTAATCAGCTAATTAACTCAAACCACCTGCAAAAGCCTTTAAATGGTCTTTCAGTCTAGTTCTATAGGCTACACAATCATGGGGAAGACTGCTGACTTGACAGTTGTCCAAAAGACGACCATCGACACCTTGCACAAGGAGGGCAAGACACAAAAGGTCATCGCTAAAGAGGCTGGCTGTTCACAGAGCTCAGTGTCCAAGCACATTAATAGAGAGGCGAAGGGAAGGAAAAGATGTGGTCGAAAAAAGTGTACAAGCAAGAGAGATAACCGCACCCTGGAGAGGATTGTGAAACAAAACCCATTCAAAAATGTGGGGGAGATTCACAAAGAGTGGACTGCAGCTGGAGTGAGTGCTTCAAGAACCACCACACACAGACGTATGAAAGACATGGGTTTCTGCTGTCGCATTCCTTGTGTCAAGCCACTCTTGAACCACAGACAGCGTCAGAAGCGTCTTGCCTGGGCTAAAGAGAAACAGGACTGGACTGCTGGTGAGTGGTCCAAAGTCATGTTCTCTGATGAAAGTAAATTTTGCATTTCCTTTGGAAATCAAGGTCCCAGAGTCTGGAGGAAAAGAAGAGAGGCACTTCATCCACGTTGCTTGAAGTCCAGTGTAAAGTTTCCACAGTCAGTGATGGTTTGGGGTGCCATGTCATCTGCTGGTGTTGGTCCATTGTGTTTTCTGAGGTCCAGGGTCAACGCAGCCACATACCAGGAAGTTTTAGAGCACTTCATGCTTCCTGCAGCTGACCAACTTTTTGGAGATGCAGATTTCATTTTCCAACAGGACTTGGCACCTGCACACAGTGCCAAAGCTACCAGTACCTGGTTGAAGGACCATGGTATCCCTGTTCTTAATTGGCCAGCAAACTCTCCTGACCTTAACCCCATAGAAAATCTATGGGGTATTGTGAAGAAGAAGATGCAATACACCAGACCCAACAATTCAGAAGAGCTAAAAGCCACTATTAGAGCAACCTGGGCTATCATAACACCTGAGCAGTGCCACAGACTGATCGACTCCATGCCACGCCGCATTGCTGCAGTAATACAGGCCAAAGGAGGCCCAACTAAATACTGAGTGCTGTACATGCTCATACTTTTCATGTTCATACTTTTCAGTTGGCCAACATTTCTATAAATCCTTTGTTTTTATTGGTCTTCAGTAATATTCTAATTTTCTGATATGATGAATTTGAGATTTTCATTTGTTGTCATTTGTAATCATCAAAATTAAACAAAATAAACATCTGAAATATATGAGTTTGTATGTAATGTATGAATATAATATACAAGTTTCACTTTTTAAATGGAATTACTGAAATCAATCTACTTTTTCATGATATTCTAATTTTATGACCAGCACCTGTATACATATGTATATGTATATATATATATATATATATATATATATATATATATAAATATGTATATATATATATATATATGTATGTATATATGTATATATAAATATATGTATGTATGTATATATCTATGTGTGTATGTGTATATATATGTGTGCTTATATATATATATGTGTGTGTATATATATATATATATAATATATCATATATTTATATCTAATAAGTAATATATGCATATATAATATATATAATATATATATACATATATACATATATATATATATATATATATGTGTACATATATATATATATATAATGTGTGCGTGTGTGGGTGTATGCATAATTATTTTTTAACTTACGTTCTAATAAACATATGCAATCAATAACATTAATAGTTTCTACATGGAAGGACCTAAATAGAGACTTTTTTTAGTAATTACAGAAGTTTTTAACTCTAATTTCCTGCTTCTATGCTTGTCTTATAAAAAAAATTTACCATTGCAAAGTGTATGCATGTAGATATTCCTTTTTCCTCTAAACACATTTGAATGGTATTTTTCATAAACTACTTTTCAGTTTAGATTTTCTCTTGTGACCAATGTATCTGTTATACCTGGAGGAATTCAAATTTCGCTTCCTGACTGCTTCTGCAGGAGACAATCATGGGCTCCTCGGTACATCTGGTGCTTCAACTCACCAATGTTTCCTCCAAGGACAACCTGCACAACCTGACGTGTGTGGCTGAGAACCAAGCTGGGCCCAACGAGGGGATGGTGCAATTGGACATTGAGTGTAAGTGCCTGCAAAATAAAATGCTGCGCTCCTGAAAGCTCACTAGCTCAATGCAAGTCGGCGGCCTTAATGGAGGCGAGGGCGAGAGCACACCGGGACTATTTGGTAGTGCAGGCAGGGTGGACGGTTGCACAAAAGAAAAATGCACTGCGCTGATTTCTTCTAAATGCCCCCTCTACAAATATGGGTACGTACCCACCATGCTTCTAATGGAGCTCTCTGTCCTCTGCCACTCAATCCAGCGACTGGTGAGAAGTGTTAAAATAATATGACTGAAGTGCTTCAGGTACAGCTTGCCATTTAATGTAGGGATGCAATGAGAGGACAAAGGAAGGTGAACTTACCTTATCTCCCTCATATAGAACTCCACCACCTTATGTATTTTGCACTTTCAAATTACAGATGGAGCTTGACTCTGAGGGTCTGCTGCTGTTTTCCGCTTTCAGATACATTAGTGCATCTGGAAGGTGAGCAACGCCGAGAAAAGACAGCACCCAGTAGTCCCACAGAAGACAATCAGATGCATTAGTGGTACATTACTGAAAATACAACCCGAAACAATATCATATAGCTCCAACTCAATGACACTCATTTGAAAATATAAAGCCAAAAAAAAGACAGGGGCGCCAATCAGCTGCATGAGCATCAAGGGACAGATAATGAACATCAGGGAAATGGGGCGGACAACCCGTGCTAAGATCTGATTTAAGCTCATCCTAATGGACTTTTCCCTTCAACTCCGGAAAACCGCTTCTTCCATGGTGATTGGCAGTCTTTAAATGTGTTAGTGCTCCTAATCTATTAACATCAGCTCCACTGGTGGACAGACACTCGTTAACCGCTGGCCCTTTAATTACTTCTAATTACCTCCCAGAACAGTGGGAGTTTACTGCTGAGTGGCTCCTCGTGCCATTGATTCATGGTAGACATGCAGCTTCCTCTTCATAGAAACCCTGCTCTGAATCAACCATTTGAAATCTTAGAATTAAACAGAAATTTTAGGGAAATTTTTATTCGGAGGATCATTAATGATATGCAGTTAACATAGCTCATTATATAGATATAATAATTTTTATGTTTGAAGTTGTTTTTTTTTATAATTTTTTATGAAATCAGAAGTCTGCCATAAGGAAAAAGGCAGTTTTGGTGACATTTATGTGTTCATGCTCCTCTGCTCTTCTTGTTTGTGAACCTGTCTCTGTGCGCTCATGTCAACTTTTTTCATTTTGAAGGTGAAACCCATAGACATTATATATGTAGACGCCTCATTGGACGCTGTCGGCAGTGAGGTCGACGTCCTTTTGAGGGCGGCCATCTTGGATCGGACCACAGTTCAGACAGCTGCTGTCAGAATGAATAGAAGGCCCCTTAGATCTAATTTTAATCACATGAAAGACAAGTCAGAGATAATATTACAATTATCTCTTACATATCACAACCGCTTAAAAAAACAAAACAAATTTTAAAATTTATTTTCAGTTAGATTACACATATTTATTTAATGACAGTGCACTGTCTCAAAAGGCTGGATTTCCTGAAAAGTAGCCAATCACAGGCTGTTTACTTCATCTGGTTTGTTCCATCCTCAAAGTTTCAGTCTTATTCTATTGAATCTTGACACATAAAATGTTCAAAGTGTGTGTGGAGAGTAGTTTACGTGTCTGGGACTTGAATAAAACTGTTTGTTTGATTATTAATGGTGTGTGTTCCCTTTCCCCAAAATTCTGACCTTATAGATTTTTTGGGATAGAAGGATCATCCTAACCTGACTCCGCCAGATGGATTTGCTCCACATATCCATCTGGAAACCTTCCGTTGAAGTAATATTGGGAAGGGGTGAAAATACTGGTTAGCTGATTGGCCTATGTTGGTGATAGACGGGCCAAATAAACCAATCAGATCAACGAAGCATATGACGTACTAACAGAGCGACGAAGAAGAGGAGCCAATTGATAGATCAAACTCTTGCCGAAACCAGTCGGGAGAAGAGCAAAAACATCTTTTCCTCTGAGAAAAGCCTCCAGAGCAGTGTTTTGCTCTTCTTTCAGTGAAGAAATACTCTGTAATTCCGATAAAACTTGCTCGATAGCCACGCTAACGCTAGTTTCATCGGCTGAAGCCGCCATGTTCTTTAGACTGAACTGTCGCGCTTCTCGTTGCGTCACACCTCAACCCTCCTCAAAGCCAACGCTGATTGGACGTTCGTTTGGTGAACGGCTCCAAATTTTCTTTAACGGAGAGTCTCCAGACTGATCTGCGAGTGAAACCTTGAAAGCTCGCGACATCAGGATGGTCTCACGAGGCTAGGATCATCCACAGTTTGAAATTGATAATATTTAAGGATGAGAAAGTGGTGCACAAGTTTGGATTTTCTTCAGATGATCAGTAATGGGGTTCCAGACCCTGTTGCTCAGGCTTGCAAGTGGCTATTTGGTCCCTCTGCAATGGCTCTCTAAAATGTAAGAAAAAATTATATTTTTAAACATAGTAGATGTAACCAAAAGGCTTACGACCTTTTTTGTTTGTGGACATATTTAAATTAAGTTTCACATTAGGATAAAATAAAAATAATCACTAATATTTTTTCCAGATCAATCTTTCTTGCCAAACCTAGCTTGTTTTTGTAAAGGTTTTATGTTTTTTCTTTTATTATAAAACCTAAAAGATGGATATAAAATGTTTTTTTATTTTGCAATGGCTAGTATGAAAAAGTACACTGCAAAAACGACCTCAAAATGAGTAAAATGTCTTAAATTAAGAGTATTTACCCTTAATTTGAGCAGGTAAATAAGATGATTTGCCAATGGAATTAGTATTTTTACTCTTAAAATAAGGTATCTAGATATTATGCGCTTGAAATAAGACAATGCAATTTTTTTTCTTATTTTAAGTGTAAATTGTCTTGTTCCATTGGCAAAGTGTCTCACTTAAATACTTAATTCAAGAAAAAATGCACTTGTTTTAAGAAAAAATGACTTATTTAGATTAAGATTTTGCAGTATATGAGTTGTCTTTTCTTAAAAGCTCAATAATTAATTAATTTGGGGCTCTAAAGGAATTTTTTTTTTTTTTTTTTTGCTGCACTGAAAGCAAAGAGTGGGGCTGCAGAACCCTGGTTTAAAAACTTCTGTCATGTAATTTGGTAGATTATCACTGTGAGGTTTGGCCCTGAACTCTAAGATATTCAAACAGCCATAATAGTGGCATTATTATGTTTCTCTGTCTGGTTCTACAGAAAAGTTTTATTAAAGACTACTCTTCTTAAAGCAATAACTTTAGGGCTAAAAAAACAAAAATGAGTGCAACGGGTTCCGTTACGAACAAAAACTGGTATCAAAACATGAATCTGACTCAGTCTTTGCATGATAAAAGCTGACCATCTAATCTGTGAGATCCTGACCTTGTTTACATCCTCAAAGACTTTCTTATTTTTAGTTGGTGCTGAACCTGCATGTACAGCTTGATTTTTGTATCGCAGCAGGTTGTTCATTCAGATCCACTCTGCAAAGAAAAATGGCTTCTATTTATAGAAGAGCAAAAAAAATGACCTTATCAAATAATTTAATGTCTGAAAATTTTAGTATTTTAGATTTGATTGTTCAAAGAAGTTTGCTGGAATAAATTGTGGCAAACTTCAAATGAGGAAATAAGGTGTGACAAGCAGCTTGTTCATTAAATGGGTTTCTAGCCTTTATTTTATCCCCAGCAGAGTGAGATCAGAAGAGGCTACCAGTGGGGGATTATTAAAGGTGATTAAAAAGCAGTATTTTCCAAGCAGTGTAGTGGCTTTCAGAGTGCAGGGAGTAAAGGGGCACCTGAGCCGGTATCAGCCTTATTACAGCACTTTCCAGGTCAGGGTTGCAGGTTAAGAGCAGCACAATTTCCAGGGCAGAGCCAATGGTCGCTGCACTTGAGAGTTGTGTTCGATCTGAACGGTGCCGTTTCCTGTAACTTCGTGTCCAGGAGAGAGCTTCCAGGTAGTTCTTGTGGTTGGGAGCACGACGATGACCAGGATGCATTATTCATGGCAGGTCAGCCAAGGTTTGCAGTTCAGATGGAGAGCATTGATTCATGGAAAATCCCAGCCAACATACAGCACAGTGTGAAACTGGGTTATGTATGACAGAGTTGAAGTTTCAGCATAAAGAGGAAACGTTTACAGCTCTGTACAACAATACCTTTAGTAGTTTTGATCAATAGATGCTGTGGCTGTCTCTGACTTTGACAATTTCTAATCTCACTTCAGCAGCTTGTTCAACACTTTGAATGTTGAGTCCTGGTTTGTTCGTGGTTGCGTGAATGAAATCAGGAACATTGCAGCAGATCTGTATGTGGTCGTCGTCGGCTTCTGCTTTATCCAGGAGACTTCATTCACCGTAGACACCTCCTCCAGCTCTGTTGGGGGAAGCCGGGAGGCCTCCAGGTCAGTCGAGAGACATAGTTCCTCCAGTGTTTCCTGGGTCGTCCCCTGGGCCTCCTCCCAGTGAGACGACAATGATGGACAATCTGTCAAGGGAAGGCGTACAGAGGGCATTGTAAAAAGATGTCCAAGCCATCTCCGCTGACTCCTCTGAATGTGGAGGACAAGCAACTCTAGGCAGTCTCTCACCAATCTCCTCATCCAGGACCTAAAATTGGATAAAAATATTCGGGTGAAATTTCCTCATCCACCATAAAGAACATTAAAAGCTTCAAATTGAAGTCCTCCCTGCCAGTAAGCCTCTCTTCGCGTTGCTTTGTTTTGGGGTATAAAGGATGTTAACTTTCTGTTGTGGGGACACCTGTGGACTCTGGGTAGGAGTGTGCCTCAAACACCTTCAAATAGAAGATCAATCTTCTTTTACTTTAGTGAGGCAGTGTCTTACTCCTTGATGATTAAAATTTAGATAAACGTAAATGTAAATCCCTTTATTGTACCACAATGGGGAAATTAGTTCTCTGCATTTTGGCCCAAACCCTTGGGGAGCAGTGAGCTTCCATTGTGTGGCACCCCCACAGTGGCTTTAGAAAATATCTAACTCAAACAGCAACCTCCACATAACTTTTAAGCAATATTTCTTCCTTAGACCGGCACCAACGCATTAAATCTGGACTAACGTTCTGATTTTGCATCTTTTTCGTTTCTCTTTTTGACTTTAATCTAAAAAAAAAAAAGTGATGTTTATAGTCTATATGAGAATGTGGAGTTTGGTTCACAGTCTGAACAAACTCTGACACTTGTGAGGGAAAATTGAGCTCATTTGTTAACAGTTTTCATTTCAATCACTTGAAAAGCTATCTGCCAATGTTGCTGGATGATTTTAATACAGTAAATGTTGTCTGGCATTATTTAGATGCTTTGTGAGAATGGATATTTTGGCTAGTTTTACATGTGTTGTTGTGAAGGAATCAATTCGAAAGGAGAAGACAGAGATGCATGTAGACAACCAAGTAGCAAAAGTTTGTCTGGAGCTTCTTGTTGCTTGCAGGAACCAGTCAGTCCCTCCGAAATAAAGCTTGATTAATGTCGTCAAACTATTCAATTTCAATTCAGTTTATCTATATAGCGCCAATTCACAACACATGTCATCTCAAGGCACTTTACAGTTCAACCAGATCATCCAGTCAAATTGATTCAAAGTTTTTTATCTAAGGAAAACCAGTTGATTGCATTAACTCATTGACTGAAATACAATCCCTCACACTAAGCATGCTTGTATCGACAGTTGAGAGGAAAAACTCTTTTTTAACAGGAGGAAACCTCCAGCAGAACCAGGCTCAGTGTGAGCGGCCATCTTCCGAGGCCGACTGGGGTTTAGTCTAAGCTACACTCAGTTCAGGCATGTCTACTTCCTTAGGTAAAACACAAAATTTTAAGCCTGGATAGTTTTTGAAAACATTCTTCATGTAAAATTTTGGTTTTGTTGCACACTAGATAAATTCCTCAAATTTCAGGGGCCTTGTGTTTTGGTTTTTGAATTTCCTAACAAGCTAGCTCATTTTTCTGCTGTATTGTACGGACAAATGAACCAAAACATTTAAGATAAAAATAGAACATTTATAGGAATTATTGATGGACATTCTTTCAAATGATTGCAAGATAATCTGTGGTTTTAGGAGGAAAATAGAAAGAAATGAAGATGATATTTAGCAAAATGTAAAACTTTGACCTCACCTGAACCTCCAAACCTGACATCTCCCCGCAGTTCCAGCCAAAATCATCTTCCTGAGAGACGCTGTGCCGCAGCACAACTGGTGCTTCCCGTTCGCTGTGGATGGCAATCCAGAGGCAAAGATCAGCTGGCTGTACAACGGCTTCCTAATCAGAGAAACCAAATACCTCTACAGCCAGTTCATCCCTGACTCAAATGACGGGTCGGTAAAACACGGCTGCCTCTTCCTCAACAAGCCCACCCACATCAACAATGGGAACTACACTCTGATTGTGGAGAACAGGCTTGGCAGGGATGAGGCCACGGCTATTGGAATGTTTATGGACAATCCTTTTGATCCGTCGGATCCAGAGGGGAAAATTCCAGGTGAGTTCCTGAAAATGTTTTATGACTGACCATCAGTCCATAGTAACAACTGTTAGATAATTATTTTAAAAACTGGATGAAGCATCACACAGCTGTTTAGCTGCAATTAATCAAGAGCAGGTCGTCCCAACAAGATCCTTTCCAAGTTTAAAAACATTACTGGATATTTATTTAAAATACTGATCTAAGTGTTAATCTGGTCATGAAAATGTTTATATTCTCTTTCCTCCTTCATGCTAGTTCCTAATGAGAATCAAAGTAAGTCCTCCATTAAATTTATGATTCCTAAAATCCTGAAGTATTTACATACACTTACTTCCTGTTTGTCCATATTTCTCCTTTCAGGTCCAACAAACAAACCTGATATGGACGTTACAGAGAATTCTGAGAGTCGGGTGTTTGTGGTATGTCTGTGTTATCAAAATATCCCCTCAGACGCTAATGGTTATTTAGATTTACCCTCATAGTTTTTTTCTTTGAGACTAGGCCAAATTAAAAACAAAAATTTAACTTGATATTAAAAATAACATTTAGTACCTGAAATTTGTGATATAAAAAATATGGCTTCTCAATAAAAATAATAACAATATAAGAAAGTTTCTGCAAATCTTTTAAAGATTGGATGAGATTCAGATGTTTTATGCACATATTTTTCTCTCATGGAGGACGCTACTTTTATCTGTCTTTTCGAGATAATTCAATTCAGTTTATTTCTATAGCACCAATTCACATCACACTGAGTTGAACCCGATCATCCAGTCAAATTGATTCAAAGTTTTCTATCCAAGGAAAACCAGTTGATTGCATTGACTCATTGACTCGAATGCAATCCCTCACACTAAGCATGCTTGTAGCGACAGTGGAGAGGAAAAACTCCCTTTTAACAGGAAGAAACCTCCAGCAGAACCAGGCTCAGTGTTAGTGGCCATCTGCTGAGGCCCACTGGGGTTCAAGGAGACAGAAGTAGACATAAAAAAAGAAGCTGTAAAAGGCGCCCCGTCCAGGAAACACACAGCCAGGCAGACGAGCTCCGAGCCAGCTCCCATGTCAGAGGATGAAGAGAGCACATCCAGTTAATCACAGTCAGAGAAACAGGACTACACTGGAAAACAGGCCGATATATAAACAAGGGTGTTTATGGCAGCAGCACAGCTGATATTTCTCTTCAGGATGGTGTCACAGCCACACAGTAATGACATCACTATCTCGTTATCACCGTTAAACAATACAGTTTTTTCTCGAGATAACAAGATCAGTATCTCGTTATCTTGAGAACACAGTTATTGATTTCTTGAGATAACGAGATAATTAACCTGTATGAGTAATGAATGAGGCTGGCCTACAGTCCTGGATTCCCAGTCCATCCACGCCTGCGGTGCCTGTAGTTGTGAAGTTGCTGTACCGCATGTGCACAAATAATCAGTTTTTTAGTTTCCTATTTCTTTTCCACTCATTTTCAGATGGATGATTGGATTGCATGGAAATCAGTAGAGACAAATCTGACTGTTTTTGTAATGAAAATCTTTAATCTGGATTCGCTTTGGGGGTTTATGCATCTTATACCTGTTACAGGCATAACACCGGGGCTGTTCAGAAAACACCCGGCGCTAAGGCGCCAGAGGCATATGTTTAATTGCTCAGGAATTGAAGCAAATCATTAAACCAACAGCGTCGTCTCATTACCTAAAAGTTTAACACAAGATTATTTTCAGAATTACAGATAGGCTGCCATGACTTATAGATTAATACAGATTAAACACAGGAAGGCTAAAATCACCAGAGCTATTTTATATCATATTGTGTTTGACTAATCTTAATTTAGACAATGCTGCACTGGGTCAATAAAAAGATCGTCCTCTATACCTTTAAGTTATACAGAGAAAAAAAATGGCTGCCTGATATTTAATAATAATGATTCTATTAACTGTGCACTAACTTCTAGGTGGCTAAATAAACACATCATTTTGTTTCAGAAATCAGCTGCATATACTCATAGGTGAGGAAAATAAGCTAGTTTCTGTTTTTTAGCTTTCATTTAAAATTCCAGAATTATAAACAGATCTTGGCTCTATTCGGCCATTTTAAAGGTATTTCTATTTTTTCAGCTGAAACAACATCCTGCATGAGGTGATTAGCACACGTCTAATTGGAGTAGCAATAACCGTCTCAAATCTTCCTGTGATGTTTGACAGGTGTCTGTGGCTGTGGGCCTTGCAGTGTTTGCCTGCAGCTTTCTGCTCATCATGGTTCTGGTCATAAACAAGTGTGGTCAGCAGTCCAAGTTTGGAATTCACCGTAAGTAGACACACAGGAGATGTTGTTGCTGCATGAATGCACAGCTAATGCATTAATGACATTTACACAGAACCGGCTCACCTGGCTTTTTGGGAACATTTGGTAAAAACATTCGATGGTTTATCTGAGTCCGTCGTCTAGGGCGGGGTTTCGATTCAAATGTCAAGAATCGAGTAAATTTTTATTCACAAGATTTGGAATTTATACTTTTGGCTCCGATCCAATCTCAAATTGGATTGCTGCTACACTGGAAAAACGATGTAGAAATAAGTTAAAACTTGTTAAATTACGTGTATTTACTCTTAATTTCAGTAGGTAAATTAGATAGTTTGCCAATTGAATGAGTATTTTTACTCTTAAAATAAGATAATTAGTTAATATGCACTTAAAATTAGACAATGCAATTGTGTTTTCTTATTTTAAGTGTAAATCGTCTTGTTACATTGGCAAAATGTCTCTTTTACCTCCTCAATCCAAGAACAAATGCACTAATTTGAAGAAAAAATGACTTATGTAGATTTCAATTTTTTCCTGTGTATTAGAAACATTTTGTTTTTGCTGTTATTACTGTAGCAACATATTATATTAGTATTATAATACTATTATCAGCGAAGGAACAAAGTAAGGGTAGTTATGGCAGCTTTTTACTGTCCTTAAGGCCAGAAAACACCTAATTGGATTTTATGCGTGATCCGACTGTAATCCTGTCAGACGAGGTTGTGTCATTTAGCACTGATTGAAAGGCAATGGGGAAGAAAACGACCGAAACTATTTTGCGTAGCTCCAACTGAGATAGAGCCCAGGACTATTTTAGTCGGACGTCGCAGCAATTTTCCAGCAATTTCCTGGGTCTGACAGGAAGAGAGACACAGTTACAAAGTAAAACACATTCGCATTGGATGAAAATAAGAAATAAAATCTTAATAAAATAAAAAATTACATTGCAGTGTCCATAAAATCTGTGATACTCCCTGCATGAATTATAATAAAGCAATTTATATGCATAAATCAAGCGGAACACTATGGCGATAGCCGTACTGCTCCACTTGTGAAAGTAAAATCTGTTGAGCTTTGTTTGGGATCAAAACAATTATTGTATTCTTATTGCCACATTGCCAGACACTGTTAAAAAAGAAATAAAATCTGTTAACCGCATGAGGAAAGAGTCAGTTTTGGAGTCGCACATCGCCTATATAGTAAGTAGGACAGACTTGTGCAAAAATAATGAATGAAATATTAAAAAAGGAAAACTTTATTCATGATAGGAGTTCAGGAGGACAGAAAAAGGATAAAGTAGTGATTCTCTTTGAGCCTCACAAAAAAAAAAACGAGGGATAGAAAGTGTAGTTTATCAATATGCTGGTGAAAAAAAATTACTTCAGAAAAGAAACAAATTGATATAGTGAAGAACTGATCCTCCTTGAGCCTCACAAAAAACAAAATAACGAGGGGCAGACAGAGCAGGTAAGTGCAGCCTATCTGTCTCACCGCTTTATGAAAAAAAAAAAAAAGCAAAACTTGAAAACTTCCCAGATCTCTCTCTGAGAATCACCTCTCTGCCTCGTTTATTGCTGTTTTTTACTTTTCTTTAGACGTAAATCTCATTATTTTTTTAATATATGAACATTCTTTGTCTGTTCTGGTTTTAGATGCTGCACAGACTCATTAAGTGGGGCTTTTTAGCTACGCCGTTGATCTTTATTTTACTTTTTATTTCTTTACATAACCTTACCAGCTCAAATGAGGGAAATTCTTTAAATTTATGTACCACAGAGATGGTAGTGAAATAAAGCTTGAGCAGATCTGCCCACCCTGCCTATGTGGAGCCTCTCTATACGCAGTCAGTGTGACACGGAAGAAAATCGGATTAATTAGTTGTATGCAACCGATGTGCTCTACCCTTTAGTATGGAAAATGTTACATTTTTTAAAATTAAATTTTCGTTATATGATTCGTTCTTTAGGAAGTAGTTGATTTGGAACTGAAAAATCTATTCCTTTATCATCCCTATTTTAAACTGAAGGAATATAATTAAGATATTCTTTATCCAATAAACCTGAAGGTTTCATGTCTCAATGAATCGTTTTCATCTAAACAAATAGGGAGACTAGCTTTGGCTGCAAAGTGGAAGCTGGTTTGAGATTATTTCTCCACACGATGCACAACTACTGTTGTATTAATATCAATTTTCTGTTCAACAATCAATCAATCTGTATTTTCAAAGAATTCTAGTAGTAGAAAACCAAAAAGCCTCCTCCACTATTTCAGATACGTTTAAACAAAGTTGTTGATTAATATTGAAATAATGAAAAGAATTTGCCTGAATTTGCGAGTTAGATTCTTTTTTTGTTATTTAAGCCATCAGGATAATTGGGGGGGAAAAGTGTTTCTAATTCAGCTTCCATTGAACTGATGCTTGGATCTATGCTTCAAAGTTTAAAGGGAGAAAAAAAGTATTACATTCAACCTATGAGAGTTTCTAGAAACAGTTGTTTGGAATTATAGCTGGTTGAGTCTTTTCGGGACTTTAATGGACTAATACAGCTTTGCAGTGTGATGTCACTTTGCACACAGGCAGCTGCTGTTTGTTTGTTGGGTAAAGTGCCTTAATTACAGTGTAGACCTCCGCTGCCCACCGCCACGTGGTGAGAGCCATTAAAAACGATGGATGGATGGATGGATGGATGGATTGATGGATGGATGGCTGCAGGAAAAGCCAGCTCCGTGTGGACACCCCACCCTTTTCTCTTTTCACTCAGAGCTCCTAAGTGTGCCTGATTGCCTAAGTGGACCTTGCTCCCTCTTGCCTTCCCTCCATCTCCTCTGGGCTCCCTCGTTGTTGTTCCATTTTCTTCTGTTTTGGACTCTGGGGGTTCTGCGGTTTGCATTGCTGAGTGGATTTTACAATTTGGGCCCCACTTGTTTGGCTTTTAATACTTGCCATAGTCAGGTGTTGCTAACCATCCAGGCTTCCTGTATGGTCATTTTTCCCCCGGTTCAATGTGGCCTGATTGCTGCATGGTTGATGATGGTGATTATTAGAGCTTGTCATAATCTGTCACCATGGTACCAACAATTGGGCCGCCAAGCTGGTAGTGGAGTATGTTTGTACCGTAGGAGGGGAAAAAATTGGTCCAGAATTGCTTCTTTTGTTGGCTACCGCAATCAAAGGAGGTTGGGGACTGATTAGGTGTCATGTATCCCTCAGCCATGCTTGTCTCTTGTGTTTCATTAGGCTCATCAGTTCTGGGTACCGAGGATGACCTGGCCGTCTCACTTCGTTTCATGAAGTTTGGAACCAGCCCGCCTTCCTCAGATGAAGACTCCGGTTTATCAAGTTTTGTGGAGAACCCGCAGTACTTCTGCGGCATCATCAAGGACAAAGACATGTGTGAGTGCCGGTGCCATTTCTGTTCAACCACTGAGTACTTTCACTCTTATTAGAAGGCTGTTTGACGTATCAGTTCATCATTTCAGAGATATTTAGAAGGCTTTTGATGGATTCCCGGGGTGGGGTGGGGTGGGGGGGGGTTGTTTGTGCTTTTGTTTGATTTTATGGATCACACCCCTCTGTAGGCACTCACAATGCAATCTGCAAAAGTCCAGGAGAAATAAGTCAACAGCCTTCAAATAGAAACCCTTGGACTAATAGGGGAGTTCCATTAAAATGGAAATGTGCTATCCAGAAATAAAACTTTGAAAAATGTTTTAGTACAAAAAAGTTTTGAGAGCAACTTTACTGTCTTCTTAGATTAAGCTTTTTTTTTTTTTTTATAATTTTATTTTTCCAAAGTAATTTTCATGTTTTGTTTGCAAACATTTTATTATTTAATTATTTTTTTTACAGATATAATATTTTAAATTTTTTATTTTTTCACTTTTGTTTTTCCGTAAAAATTCAAAAAATATCCACTGGACTTGGTTTTCAACATTTAAAGACGTTTCGCCACCTCTCCAGGAAGCTTTCTCAATTCAAATGTCACTTTTGTTTTCTGAAATTTTAATTCTTCAAATTGAGTTTTATGAGGAGCATTCTTTTCTTTTTTTTTTTTCTTTTTTTTTATAGTGTCCTGTCTGGCAATGTGGCAATAAGAATAATTGTCTTGATGCCAAAAAGAGCCCAAGAGATTTTACTTTCACAAGTGTAGCAGTACGGCAATTGCCATATTGCTCCACTTGTTTCATGGATATAAATTGCTTTATTATAATTATGCAGGGAGTTTTACAGTTTATATGGACACTGCAATGTAAATAGAGCAGAAAAACAGAAGAAGATTAAGCTTTTTTTTTTATAATTTTATTTTTCCAAAGTAATTTTCATGTTTTCTTTGCAAATATTTTATTATTTAATTAATTTTTTTACAGATATAATATTTTCAAATTTTCATTTTTTCACTTTTGTTTCTGAAATTTTAATTCTTCAAATTGAGTTTTATGAGTAGCAGTCTTTTCAAATTTCTATTTACATTCTCATCCCTTCTGGGGGCGGGCTTTTACCCCAGAGGGCGGAGTAAAGAAGCATTTCTATTGGTTAACTGGATATTAGTGACACTTTTACTGGTCGAGAGTGAGTTATTGGACTTGAAGGGAAGAGAATGTGATCTGTAGAACTCAAATAAAAAAGAATTCAGTTCATAAAAACTCCCTCTTAAGATAATGCTGGTGAAGATTCTCAGTCATCCAGGTCACAGCGATTCCAAAAAAAGTTAAAAACAATCCACTGGACTTGGTTTCCAAGTTTAAAGATCCATACAGGAAGCTTTTTCAATTCAAAATGTCAGAAATAGCACTGAGTTCGAGGTCTTATACAGTAGCCCAACAAAGCCTTGTTTTTGCTTAGAAAACATGTAAATTAAACGGACGAACGGGTCCACCCCTTTTGAATGGGGGTGCAATGCCCCATACCTGTCTATGTCTCTGAAAGGGGGGTCGGTTTTTATTTATTTATTTTTTTTTACCTTTCTTTAACCAGGAAGTCCCATTGAGATTCAGAATCTCTTTTTCAAGAGACCTGGCCAAGGTAGCAGCCAAACCACAGGAAGTTCATAAATATTTACAACATATTACATTTTTCATAATAAAAAATATAAAAATAAAAAAAAAATTTTTTTTAAATAAATAAATAAAATAAAATCAGAGCAGTATGTTAAAACACATTGAGCATCTCAAGAAAAACAAGCACATATCTCAATCGCTACATTCTTCACGGTTGCTTTTAATTCATTAATGGACAGGAGAGTTTCTAATTTGAGATCTTTCTGCAGTTTTTCCCAACTCAGTTAAAGCTCAGGGTACATTAAAAAGTAACCACTGAGAGGAGCGCAACTGATAACTACCAAAACTCACAGAGAAGAGGTTACAGAGGTACAGTGGGAGTTTACCAAGTATTGTTTTATAGATAAAGATATACCTGTGCTGTTTTCTACGAATTGTTAGTGATGTCCAACCAACTAGATCATAAAGAATGCAGTGATGAGTAAGGGAATTTGTAATGAATCGTAATGATGCATGGTACACTGAGTCAATATGACGCAAGATGGAGGATGCAGCATGCATGTACAATATATCTCTTGTTAAAATTAATTGTTGACCTGGCTGAAAAGGCGAGGTCCTACTTTCCCCTATAAAGGGGGTGAGGTTCCCTGGATGGGAAGCTAAACGTTTTCAAACTTGGAAACAAAGTCCAGTGGATTGTTTTTAACTCCCTCTTGAGAACCAAATTTTGAAATAAATAAAAAAATACATATATTTTCAAAAGAAAACATGAAAAATGAATATAGAACAAAAACATATTGCATATCGAACTAAAAAAAATCCTAAAATAGCCACCTTACAGAACAAATTCAGAAATATAAAAACAACCTCAGAAGAAAATACAAAACAAATATCAGACTTTCTTTAATTTTTTTAAGAGAAAAATAAGAGGTACTTATAAGAGACATAAGCATCAGGGAAATATGGCATGCCATATTTGCAGAAAGTTTAGCTTCTGTTGTCTGTAAAATGGGCTGCTGGGCTGGTCATTTGAGGGTTGGGCAGTGGCGGTTCAAGACCGAATGTACCAGGGGGGCCAGTTTTCATGGGGGACCCAGAAAAGCATCAAACTAAAAGACAGGGCAAGGGAATAAAATATATTAAGATAATTTCAATTTCCTTTTAATTAGGTTTAATTAAGATTCTGTGTCTTCAAACTGATAATACTTATTTTTGGTCCGAAAATGTTCATTTGGATTATTGTTAAAATAAAAATAAAAATCCCTTAGCATAGCAAAAAAGCAACATAAAAAGATTTAGCTCTATAAATATCTAAAAGATCAAATAAAGCTATTATTTAGAATATTAGGTCAATATACATTCTTAATTTAGGCATTTTACATATTTTTAAATTAAGTTAAAATGACAGATTTTTATCAAATTAGAATTAGAACTCAACACAAACTGATAAATTCAGCTGTAAAAATTAGAGTATTTTTATTTGTTTTTAAAAAAACATGTAGCAGATAAAAACTGGGATCCTATCTCCATCCCACTGAAGCTATCACCTTATTGTTTTCAATTTAATTAATAAAACTGATTTTTTTTTTTTTTTTAAGAAAAAAATGAAATAGATCCAAAGGACTTATCAGTGATCATGTCTGTTCCAGCGCAGATCATCAGTAGAGTTCCTTCAAATATTATGTCTTTGGAAAAGGGCCATAAAAGGGGCCAGAACATGATCTACAGGGGCACTGGCCCCTGTTGGCCCCTGCCTAGAACCGCCCATGGGGTTGGGGGCCATGTGTGTGTGTGTGGGGGGGGGGTTGATCTTGCTGTGTAAGCCATGTGGACTGCGCTCTATAAAAATCTGAAGGAGAATGTGAGACCATCACGTTCCAAATTTGTTTAGTTTATCTAGCTGTAAAATGATCCAAAGCACCAAAGCAGTGAGTTGCTTTAGATAAAGCTTAAACAACATAATGATGTCTTTGAATTAATCTGTTCAAAGTTCCACTTAAAGCTGCCCAGTTACCTATTATGACTTTAAAAAACATACTGAATATACAATTTCAAATTACTTTTTTAACCTTGAAATTTAACAGCTGGAGCGATCAGCAGAGAACAGATTACGCTTCATCTGACGACAGCTTCTATTACCAAATAAAACAAGAAGCTAAGCAGCTTTTTTATTTTCATTACGCTGTAACAAGTACAGAGCAACGAAATGAACTCTCTGCGTTTAACGCATCCCTTTGAGGAGCAGTGGGCGGCCATTGTGCATCGCCTGGAGAGCAGTGTGGGGTGAAGGGTCTTTGCTCAGGGATCCAGAGTGACAGTCTGTGGGAGTGCGGCTTCAACTCAGAACTGGATTCAAAGCACAATGCCCCTAACCACTAGGCCACAATCCCCCTGGTATATGCATCACATACCATTCAACTCCACTAACAGCCTAAAATCAGCATTGCTATCGCCGTCATCAGTAGTAGTGCAGTGTACGCACACATCTAACAACCAATCAGTGAAATCTGAATGCTTCCACAGCTTCAACATTTATATTTTATTCTAATATGATTAATCTTTATCATTCATGAAAAGGCTCAAACAACCCGAAAAAATAATTGGTTCTCCATAAGTTGTATGATTTCTCCTACCCATAATTAATCGCTATAAAGGTATAAATTCCAATATTTTGCTCCCTCAGAAGTTTAATTTGTTGAGGCACAGATCTCCTTTGTGAGAATAAATGTAATCGTCTTCATTGCGTAAGTCACAAGATTAGAGGAAGAGAATAAGAAGATATGGAGCAACCTAAATAGATATAATAGCTCATATAGATGATAATTGATATAGGTAATCTCCTGAAGAGCCAGGCTGATAAGGACACTTCTATAACCCTGTAAGAGCAGCAGGGCATGTCAGGCAGGGATTGCGATGTGATGCGTGTGTGAAATGATGACACCCGATCAGATAGACGCTCACATGGAGACACGTCCACTGAGGTATAACAACCAACAGGAAATGGTTCTCTTGGCTCATATTCATTTCTTTTGATTTTGATGAAAACAGCAGCCCAGCGCTGTAGCCCTTTACCAATTCTCTGCAAAGCTTAGATTTAATCATTCTAACAACTTTAAAAGTTGTTTTCTATGAGAAGAACTGAAATTAAAGTGTAATCACTTCAGGGCGCCGTTTCAGGGGAAACGGCCGTACTTCCCCCGAGCAGAAGAAGAGTTTGAGTGATATCAGTCAGGTAACTACACTCCGAATCTGTTCAACTCCTATTTATCTGGAACGCAGACAAAGCGAGTCGCCATGGCAACAGCAGGGCAGTTCAATTAGTGGCCACGCCCCCAGGAATGCGAGGGAAAGGTGGGCGGAGTCATCCAAATCCTGGCTCCTCTTCTCATTGGTTCCTCTGCCCTAAGAGAAACGCGGTTCATCGTCTTCTAAACTTTTAAATCTGAGAATTTTACTTAAATATTAAAGGTATATTTATGATATGTAATGTTTATATATAAGCTATGGATTTAGATATAAAATTAAAATGTCTAAATAAGTATAATATTTAATATATAGATATAAGATGTAGAAATAGATTTAACAAATTAATATAGATATCATATTTAGATATAAATTTATATTTAGCGTTTGTGAGAAAAGCTTTAAGTTTGGTCAAAAACAGAAATAGAGTGTAAAAAAAATGCTTTTTTTTTTTTACTAAATTTCTATTCTGCACAGCAATTCAATTCAGTTTATCTATAAAGTGCCAATTCACAACACATGCCATCTCAAGGCACTTTACAGTCAGATTGATTCAAAGTTTTCTATCTAAGGAAAACCAGTTGATTGCATCGACTCCTTGACTCGAAGGCAATCCCTTAAAGCAAGCATGCTCATAGTGACAGTGGAGAGGAAAAACTCCCTTTCAACAGGAAGAAAACTCCAGCAGAACCAGGCTCAGTGTGAGCGGCCATCTGCTGAGGCCGACTGGGGTTCAAGGAGACAGAAGCAGAGATACAAAAAGCAGCTGTAAAAGGCGGCCCCGTCCAGGAAACACACAGCCAGGCAGACAAGCTGCGAGCCAGCTCCCATGTCAGAGGAAGAAGAGAGCACATCCAGCCAGTCACAGTCAGAGAAACAGGAATACACTGAAAAACAGGCAGATCTCCAACATCTATAAACAAAGGTGTTGATGGAAGCAGCACAGCTGATATTTCTCTCCAGGATGGAGTCACAGCCAAACAGGAACAGACCAGGCGAAGCTACTATGAGAAAAAGCAGAGAGAGCAGAAGGTTAGAGATTGAACTAACAGATTCTGCAGAGTGGAAGAATAGAGATAGAATAATCTCTACTCTCCCACTCTGAGATCTATAAAAAGCATAATGTTATACTTGTGCTGTCTATAATTGCATAACATAACAGGCAGCAATTAGTGATGCGATTACCCAAAAAAAATCACAGTGTAGCGGGTCATCTTCACACCGCCAGTGTTTCATACTGTAATACTAGCGGTAATAGTAAACTGAAAATGCTCCACATGGATCTTCTTAAGTGCCCGATTAAAAAAAGAATTCTGAAAATCTTTATTAAAGCCATTTTTTTAAAATAGAGATACTGCTTTGGAAAAGATGAAACATCTAATCGCCCACTAACCACCCTCTCCTCATGGAGACATCTCCAGAGTGTTTGCACTCTGACATTAACAGGTTCTTCTAGAGAAGGGTATGCCATTTCCAACACTTTTTCCAGCTTTTCTATTGTCATTACACAGAGCAACGAAATTAACTGTCTGCATTTGACCCATCCCTTTGAGGAGCGGTCGGCTGCCATTGTGCGGTGCCTGGGGAGCAGTTTGGGGTTAAAGGAATAGTACACCCAAAACATGATTAGCCTTCCTTTTCTACTCACCCCCATGCTGAACAACACCCTGGAGTACTTTTTTGATATCTCAAATGCATCTGGAGATCTGGGAGGCTTCTTGCTGTCTGCTGACATTCAAATAATGGAGGTCTATGGCGCCCGAGGCAGAAAGGTCCATAAAAGTCCACAAAAAACGTGTCAATATTCCTCCATACTGCTCGTCCAATGTATTCCAAGTGTCCTGAGTGGGTAGCATCCAGAATTTACTCGAAACGAAGTCATTTAGAATGTTTTTAGAGCATAAACAGTAGTGTATAGGATTTCCTGAAAGCGCGCACACGCGCGCTCACGACGCTACGGAAGCCGGCAGATCAAACCAGATGAAAGTGCGCATTCAGCGTCTGCTCTGCCAATAATGCAAGCGTAGAAGAAGAAATGTGCTGTTTACCTGTGCAAAGAAAGAAACAACGAAAGAAAAATGTCTGAGGACTTCAGTGTTGAGGAAGAGCATGAGTTCTTTGCCGAGCTGAATGCGCTGGTTTGGTCTGCCGGCTTCCGTAGCGTCGTGAGCGCGCGTGTGCGCGCTTTCAGGAAATCCTATACACTACTGTTTATGCTCTAAAAACATTCTAAATGACTTCGTTTCGAGTAAATTATGGATGCTACAAACTCTCATGATATTTTGCAAATTCTTGTGAGATTTTGTTAGTAAAATAGATCGATACCGCGTCAATATATCAACATATAAAAATATGGCAACATTTCGTGAATTTTCGGGGGATTTCGTAGCATAACGATGACATATAGCAATATTTCATTAGTAAAAGAGATTGATATGGTGTTTTTAAATGGCAATATATCAGCATATGAAGATATTGTGATATTTTAATGTATCAATATTTTTTCCCTCGTCTTTAGAAGTTTTTATTTAGTAAAAAACAAGTTTTTGAGGAAGAAGAAGTAGTATTTATTTTTTTTTTTAAGACTTTAGCGACTCGGAAGCTGATCAAATATCGGGTTAAATATCGGTGGGGTGGCCGATGTCCGATATTCAGTTTTAAGGCCGATACCGATAGGGGGCCGATTATATCGTGCATCCCTACTGTATATATATTGCTTATTCTTAATGCACCTTTTTCCTCCTTGTTTAAACCTTCTGTAACTTCTATGCCAATATGTGACGAGTGAATTTCTCCGCTGTGAGATCAATAAAGCTCATCTAATCTAATCTAATCTAACCTCAACAGGCTTGTATTCCATTAGTCATGTGCAAAAAAAAAAAATTTAAGTTCAGATCGCCATACGCCTCAAAAAACACCAAGAAGTAAGTAATTAAATACTTTTTTTGTACATGACTAAAGGAATACACACAGGGTAGTTTAAAGTGTATTTTTATGACAAAAATAAAGGGATAAACAGGTATTGGAAATGCTGGTCTGACCAGGTAGGCTCATCTGACCGAACACTGCCACTCCCCTCAGCTTTGTTGGATATAACATTTATTTTCATCATTTCAAGCATAAAAATGTTAGAAACAATCAAATACAAAGGAAATCAATAATGGTAGAAATGTTTCTTTAAAGCGTTTTATATTTACTGACAAAACCCATCAATGTAAACCGCATGGATGAAGTTTAAATGAAAGCAGTCTGGTAATGGAAAAATATTGATGTTAGCAGACATAAATATCCATAAATGAAGACATGAACTGATGTTTTACTAGGAAACTAAATTATTTAGGAGGATTGGTAAGTTTTAAAACGCTCAGACAGATTAGTGGCTGGCTTTACGAGAACGCAGCCCTTAGAAAAAAAGAGCTTGTTCTTGGATCAACAGATGTCAGCAACAGTTCCTTCACAGCTGTTTGTCTTTCTCATTGTGGCAGGTGTGCAGCACATTAAGCGGCAGGACATTGTGTTGAAATGGGAGCTCGGCGAAGGAGCGTTTGGCAAAGTCTACCTGGCAGAGTGTGCAAACCTCAGCCCCGACAGCGACAAGATGCTGGTTGCCATTAAGGTGAGGAAATCTCGCACCGTCTCCTACGTCGTTTGGAAGCAATTTAACAACTAATGTGCTCTAAACATTTGCAGCAGCAGTGAAAATGTCAGCTGTTAGTATGTGGTCTAAGCAGAGGAGTTTCCTGAGAAGAAAAGCTGTTTGTGGTAAACAGAACAAAAAGTTATTCCTGCTGCAACAAACTTCCAGTTCGTTTTTTTTTTAAATACTACCTAATGACCCCTGTGGTGTCAGATGTACAAACACCTTTAAACAAGTTCTGCTTAAATAAATTCAGTCACCTATTTGTTATTGTTTTTATTTGACATTTGACGTTATTGGTTGGTCAAACTCACCATTAGCTTTAAATTGGTGATCCTTAACTTTGTTGGATTTTTTCTGTGTAATAAATTATACAAGACAGAGGCCCTTTAAGGTTAGCCTCTCTTCAAAACAGGAAGGATGGTAGAACACAGCATTAAAGTAACTATAATGGTACGTTCACACCGAATGCGATTTTAGCAGCAAAAAAGCGTCTGCTGCTTTATTTTTCATGCTTGTAGAAATTAAGGTCAGACACGCATCGAAGATGCTCTTAAATTGCATCCAGTAAAGTGGGTCCAAATGCGTCTGATGCTTCTGCTGCTCCTGTGTTCAATGGCAGAGAGCCGCTTTCCCAGGCATCCCAAGTCTCCCCAAGTCTCCCCGAGGTTCCGGGAGTCCCCATGACATATTTTTTCAAGGATGCCCCCGATAATAAAATAATTCAATAACAATAATTTGTGCACCTTGTGCGAATTAAAACTACTTCGATTGCGCATGCATATCAAGAGGGAGTGGTGTGTGGGGATGAAAGTAGCTAGTGAAACCTGTGCAGCGTATCTGTCCAAAGTGATGCTCTATTCAACGAGCGTTCCAGGCGACCGGTTGCCAGAGAAATGATTGGATGAGTCAGAAAAACAAGCCAATAAGTTTCAGTTTCCTTTGACAGTCACCTTTTACCACTCAAAGCTGTACATCCTGTGAAATAGGTTGGGGGGTTCAATAATCATCTCCCTGAAATGAGTTTTTGGAACTTGGGACGTGTGCTTTACTATATTTGCTGTTGTCATGGTTTTATCAAGAGCTCGGACCCACATACAGATTAACCAGTCCAGAGAGACAATGGAAAAAGTTTAACAGGTTTATTGAGAAGTTTTGTGGAGGTTCCAGTGTTGCTCTGAACACTGCTCAACCGGAACTGAAAGGTGAGGGGAAGACACTGCGGTTAGTTCATGTTCAGTGGGAAAATTGATTCTCGAACTTGAAGAGGAGAAAAAGTTGCCCGACTCACGTTTCCAGAGATTAGGTTGACTCTTAGACTCCAGCAGGTGAGGAATGTGTTCCGGTGTTTGTCTCATACGGAGAAGGGCGGACAGGGTTACCCAGAATGCGGTTGCTTGTAGATAGATGGAGAAAGACTGACTGCCACTCAGATTTCCTGCGGTACATGAACCGACTGTTGTGCAGATGAATCCCTTGCTCAGTGTGAAGCTCTAACGTTTCCTCGGGGAAAAGTGGATCCAAACCTCCGGTTTGTATTCTCAGCTCAATTTGAAGCTCAGTTGATCCTTCCAGGGAGAGAAGGTCAGAAAAATCCAGTTTGCAGGATGACTTCCTGCCGAGAAGCAAAGACAAAAAACAATGTTAAGACTCAGGTTGACAAAAACTCAGTTTGACTCAACAAAACTCAGCTTGGCTAGAGTACCCGAACCTGGCAAACACTCTGGCGCCGAGGTAGTGGCAGTCAGCAGCTTAAGAACACTCCGTTAACGAGGTAACCCCTTGCAGGTGTGTGAGGAGGAGAATCAGAACCAGGCGCCGCCTGGTGGAGGAAGGAAGACAAACACACAAAAACACAGACCACACAGACTGGAGTCCTAACAGCTGTGGGATAAACCAGCTACTGCGCATAGGCAAACAGAATAATAAGATCGGGAACACTCAAAAACTATGTAATAACTGTACAGAAAATACTTATTTATATACTTAAAACATTTAAGAATGCTAAACTTTTTGTTGTTTAGAAATAATTCAAGAAATTGATATGTTTTATATTCTCTATTGTGTTCCGTGATGACATCATTTGTTATGTAATCCCAGTAACGTTCTAAAGGCTATCCAAGTGTATTGCTTTAGAGTAAGTTTAGTGAACAGGTCCACCCCTTTGGAAGGGGGGGGGGGTGAATGAACTCGTCTATCCATCCAGGCCAACAATTCGCTTTAAAGACCCCTCAGAGACAGACAGGTATGGTCTTTGCAGGTTAAAAAAAAGTAGCCAAACGGCCCCCATTCTAAAGGGGTGGACCCGTTCGTCCGTTTCAATTTGTATGTTTTCTAAACAAAAACAAGGGTTTGTTGGGCTCCATGTAAAGCCTCGAACTAAATGCTATTCCTGACATTTTTTTTTTTGTCATTTAAGTTTTTATTGTTATTTTTTCAGGAACAATACAACAAAAATATAAAAGTGGCACATTGTAATTAGATTACAGTAAGTTCAGCAGAGTTAGATCCTTTTACAAATTCAAAAAAATATGTCCAAATCCGGCTTGTTTTATCCTGAGTGTCGTGAATTTTTGATAACAGTCTCTCATATGAAGCAGTTTCTGTCATCATTTTAATCCAGTCTGATGTTTGTGGCTTGTGGGGGCTTTTCCATATTCGTAAAATTAGACGTGCAGCAACAAGAAAACCAGTCACAGCAAACTTGTAAGTGTCCATAGTGAACCCAGGAGGTATAAAACATTTACTGCCAAGCAAACACATTTGTGGTGATGCTGGGATAGGTAAACCAATACATCTTTCCAGATATTTTACAACCTCTGTCCAAAATGGAGCCACCAGGGGGCACTCCCAGAATACATGAATGTATGTGCCAATATCACCATTGCATTTCCAACAGGTGTTCTTCTGTAATAAACCCATTTTAAATAATCTGGATGGTGTAAAATAAAATCTATGAATAATTTTGTAGTGAATAAATTTGCTTCTTGCATCCCTGGTGGCCCATCCTACATTAGAAACAACATTTTCCCACATATCTTGCATAATATTAATATTAAGATCTTTTTGCCAGCTCAGTCTTAAACCTTCACATATTGCACCTTGGTCACCTAAAAGCTTCTTGTAATACATTGATGCAGTTTGGAAATTTTTTGGTAAGTTTAGCCAGGCCTGTAATGGGTTTTCTCCCTGTATATTGCTCAACTCAAAAACTGAACCTACACTACTTCTTATTTGTAAATATTTCCAGAAATCCCCTTTATCTGTAAGATTAAAGGTGTCTCTCAGCATTGCAAATGACATGAAATTGTTATCTCTGTACAAATCCTCAATCTTCTGGACCCCTCCTATTAACCATTTCTTCCAATAAACAGGAGATTTCCCAATACGCACTACTGGGTTGTTCCAAACTGAGGAGTAAGTCTGTTTATATGAGGAGATGCCCAATATTTTGTGAGCCTTATTCCATGCCCATTTAGAATGTTGTATAATTGGGTTATATTGTAGTTCACCTTCAGGCTTATGAGAAAGCAGCTGGATGACTTCAAAAGGAGTTGTTAATGCCCTTTCAACTTTAACCCATCCCTTATCCAAGTCTTGCTTCTTCCAATGCCTGGATAATTTATTCAATTCAAATGCAATATTGTATAATTCTAAATCTGGGAGTGCCATCCCTCCTGTCCCTCTCAGAGCCGAAAGTTTTTTAAGACCAATTCTCGGTTTCTTCCCATTCCATAAAAATGTTTTGATTAGCTCATTATATTTCTTATACCAGGTGTTACTAATAATCAGGGGTACCATCATTGAAATATAATTGAATTGTGGGGCAACCAGCATCTTAATGGTATTAACTTTACCCCACAAAGTAATATTTAATAGTTTCCATTTATCTATATTATTTTTTAAGTTATGGAGCAGTGGTTCTATATTGATTGAGATTATATTATTCAACTCCGGGCTTAATTTAATGCCAAGGTATTTCATACCAACAGGGGTCCATCTAAATTGGAACTGTGAGAGGTGAGTTTGGAAACAGTTCTTTGAGACTGGCATGGCCTCAGACTTCTGCCAGTTGATTAAGTACCCTGATAACCTTGAAAAATGTTCAATTGTTGACAAAACCTCTGGGACTGAAGTGGAAGGATCCCTAATAAGAAGTAGAATATCATCAGCATACAGGAACATTTTATGTTCTTCTGAGTCCTGCACCACACCTTTGATATTTTCATTATTTCTGATTGCCGCAGCTAAGGGCTCCAAAAAGAGGGTGAACAGAAGGGGACTCAATGGGTCTCCTTGTTTTGTCCCGCGTTGTAGTTTGAAAAAAGGTGAAACTAACCCATTTGTTGACACAGCGGCTCTAGGGTCTGCATAGATTACACTAACCCATTTGATTAAGCCTTCCCCAAATCCAAATGCTTTCAGAGTGTATTGGAGGAAGCTCCATTCTACCCTGTCAAAGGCCTTATGGGCATCCAACGACAGGGCCACTACTGGAGTGTCATTATTGCGATTTTGCCACATGAGGTGCAGGAGTCTTCGGACATTATCTGATGATGTCCTTCCCTTCACAAATCCCACCTGGTCCATATGAATTAGGTGTGGCAATATATTTTCCATTCTAATTGCAATGACTTTTGTCAGAATTTTACAGTCTACATTTATAAGACTCACCGGTCTAAAACTGCCGGGATCCATAGGATCCTTATCTTTTTTATGTATTAAGGAAATTAGGGCTTCATTAAAAGTGTCCGGCATTTTCCCCAAATCAAGTGATTCTTTGAAGACCTCCGTCAAAATTGGAGCCAGTTTGTCTGCAAATTTTTTATAATACTCCGATGGGAACCCATCCACTCCTGGCGACTTCGATGGTCTCATGAGAGAAATTGCCTTTTTTACTTCCTCTACTGTTATAGGGCTGTCCAAATATGTTTGTTGATCAATTGTCAGTTTAGGCAAGTCAAATTTTGAAAAAAACCTGTCACACTCTTCAAGATCATGTTTTACCTGTGATTCATAAAGTTTGTTATAGAATTTAAAGAAAACATCATTAATATCACCAGTACTGGTCTTTGGAATTCCTGATTCATCTTTTATGGCTGGTATTGTAAAATTAGCCTCTTTCCTTTTAAGCTGTCTTGCCAAGAGTTTTCCAGCTTTCTCGCCACTCTCATAAAAGTTGGTGTTTAATCTAAATAAAGCATATTCGACTTTTTTGTTATATATGTCGTTTATCTGTAGTTTTAGATCACAAATTTGTCTTAACAGTATCTCATCATAACATTCTGATAGCCTTTTTTCCAAAGTCTTTAGCTCAGTTTCTATTGTATTTATTCTTTGCATTTGTTCTTTCTTTTTTTTTGATGCATATGCAATCAATTTCCCTCGTATATAGGCCTTTGATGCCTCCCAAACAGTACCCACCCTTTCTGTTGAACCCATATTCAACTCAAAGAAATTATCAAGCTCCTGTTCCAAGTACTTACATAGTTCAGTATCATGTAATAAAGACACATTAAGTCTCCACCTACTCTTTTTGATCAAATCTGGTTCCAAAATCAAACCCAAGTGTACGGTGGCATGATCTGTCAGTGCAATTGGTCCTATTGAACAGTCTGAAACATCTTGCACCAAGTTATTGCTGATTAGGAAGTAATCAATTCTGGAATGAGATTTATGCCTATGAGAATAAAATGTATACTCTCGTTCTTTAGGGTTAATCACCCGCCAAATATCTACCAAGTTGAGATCTTTCATCATTAACTCAATAGCCATTCTGTCCTTGGGCTCGACCCTAGAATACGTAGTTTTATCCAAGACCCCATCCACGACCTGGTTATAATCTCCCGCAATTATTGATTTGCTTGTAGATATGTCCCCAATCATTTTGTTTATGTAATGGAAAAAATCTGCATCCTCTTGATTTGGTCCATAAATGTTGCATAGGTTAACCTTCACACCATTGATTACAGCTTCTAAGCATATTACTCTGCCATCAGAGTCTTTGTGCTCTTTTGAAACAGTAAGATTTAGTTTTTTATGCACTAAAATAGCAACTCCGTGTTTTTTATTAGCGTAGGAGCTATGAAACACCTGCCCCACCCAGTCCCTTTTTAATCTACTTACTTCTGAGTCTAATAAATGTGTTTCTTGTATAAATGCTAATTGAGCTTGTTGGGATTTAATATATGTCAAACATTTCTTAAGCTTTATTGGGTTTTGCAGCCCATTCACGTTCCAGGATATTATTCTTAAACAGTTAGCCATGTCTACCTCTGTGACTTGGTGAAAGTTCTGCTGTTAAATGAAACAACTGTGCCAAAACAAAAACATCCTCTGATGTAAAACCCACATCAGGAAAAATGAACTGAAATAAACACCTGAACACAAAAAAACCCTCCCTCCCCCTCCCTCTCACATAAGAGAAATCCCTCCCATAAACACGGCCCATGAGACACACGAATGATCGCCCAATTGGCCCCCACCCTCCCCTTTTGTCTCTTCTAAACAACACAACTGGTACCATGACAAATAAAATATCCAATATGTGTGTTACCCAAACAATATAATCATAATCCTAACGAAATAGTAAATTACTGGCAAAACTAATAACTTAAATTCTTTCTTTCAATACAGAACCGTATTTGAAGCAATCACCAACAAAATCTACATTTTAACCGGTTTTTACTCACTGTCTGTCATTTAGTCCATAAACCACATCATTCTTGGTGCTCCTCCTCTTCATTTTGAGTGTTGCTTAGAAAGGCCAAGGCTTTACGGTGATCGGTGAATCTCATCCTCTTGCCTTCCCACGTGAAGCGTAGCTCAGCCGGATACGCCAGCGTGAAGCGCACATCCAGCTCGTGTAGTCTCCTCCGTGCGTCTGTAAACTTCTTTCGCTTCTCCGCTGTCTCTCTCGTCATGTCAGGGAAGAACGACAGCCTGCAGCCTCTCCACACGATGACCTCTTTCTTTTTGTACTTCTCCCTTGCCGCGTCCAACACCCGTTCACGTTCAAGGAAACTTAAAAACCGCATCACGATGGGTCTGGGCGGTCTGTCCTCGTCAGGGACTGGTCCAGCGGTGCGGTGGACCCGTTGTAGCTGTGTGCGGTCAAGCTCAACACCGAGCGCCTCAGAGATGATCTGTCTCACACATTCGTCCAGTTTACCGCCCTCAGACTTCTCCTTCAGGCCAATTAAGCGCAGGTTCTGTCTCCTGTCACGATTAGCGGCGTCTTCAATAGCCTGGTGAAGCTCCTCGCACTTTTTAGCACTTTTTTCTGCAGACGTGCATAACTTGACATTCTCGTCTTCTAGCTGCGAGATGCGGCTTTCCGCTTCATCCAGACGTAGCATAATCTGGTCAACGTCATTTCGTAGCTCTTTGTTAGCTTCTTTTACCTCATTCACCTCTTCTTGCAGAGTTGTCAACAGCTGCCCAACTTTTCCCATTTCCTCCGTGGCTTTCTTGAGAGATTGTTGCATTTCAAGCAGCACACTTGCCTCTGTGGTTTGGCTAGCTGGTTTAGCATTAGCCCCGCTAGTTGTAGCATTAGCACCATGCTTGGCAGACGATGTTCTAGTCGTCATTGCCTCAAAACGGCTGACTGTCCGGCACCGAAACACCTATTGTACCTAAAGACTGAGTATTTGTCAGAAGAGACCGGATTTAAATGCCGGATTTAGATCAAATTGAGGGCTTTGATGAGCAGCTCCAATTCAGGCGACCATCTTGTTCGGTGCTCCCACGTGACCCCACTATTCCTGACATTTTTTATTGAAAAAGCTTCTTGGATGGGAAGCGAAACATCTTCAAACTTGGAAACTAAGTCCACTGGCTTGCTTTTTCACTTTTTTGGAATGACTATGACCTGGATGACTGCGAATCTTCACTAACGTAAGGAAGGTTGACAAGTTTGTCCTCTTTTGGCTACTCTGATCAAAAATGGTGATCCAATATGGCGCCTCCCATTTGGTGCACCACCCCCCGTGTATTTATGAACCAATAATTCTAACCTATGAGAACATTTTCCTTTTAGATGGGATTTTATTAGACTTTTAAAGAATATTTAATTATCAAAGCAATGCTTGATTTTTGCCAATAGAAAAAGCTAAATTTCGCACACACTGTTCATTTAAGGAAAAACAGTTTTTTTTACACCCTATGGTATCCAACGCCACAATGAAATGTTATTTCTTTAGAATATTTCCTTGTGCAAATTCAAAAATGGAGAACCATTGTTTGTCCACAGACCCTGAAGGATGCAAACGAGTCGACCCGGCAGGACTTCCAGCGAGAGGCAGAGCTGTTGACCGTCCTTCAGCATCAACACATCGTTCGATTCTACGGCGTGTGCACAGACGGAGAACCGCTGGCCATGGTGTTCGAGTACATGAGACACGGAGACCTGAACCGCTTCCTTCGGTGCGTAGAAGACCACACACTCACTCTCTGTTGTGGGTTGTCAAACCTCCGCTGCCCAAATGCTTGATCCTAATGCTGGTTAATGTTAGACCCTGAAAGTGTTGAATGAAAGGCCGCAGCAGCAGAACTGCCTTTATAGGGAATGTGTCAGAGTAGAAAAAGCACAGTAGGAACATTTCCCAGCAGTGAGCCACTTTTTACAATGCAAGGCCCTGAATTCAAAGCGGCTAAGTGGAGTGCAGCCATCGTGCCTTTCAGCGTGTACAGTAAAGCTGAAAAGATGGGTGGATAATAATATAGCTGGATGAATAAGGACATTATTTATCCCCTAAATGTGACTTTTAGGTAGAAAATTTGAGAAACTGCTCTTGCTATGAGGTTAAATGTTTCAGGAAGACTTAAATAGGTTTTTTGTTGCTAAACATGACAATAGACCAATCACACGCTCATTTGAACTCTACAGTCTTTTCTACAAAGAGCAGTTTATTCGTAGAGTTATTGTAGCAGATTTTCAAATTATCAAAGAAACTGAATGCAATCTTTAGCCCTTTATAGGGCACTCAGTGAATTACTTTGAAAATCCAAATTTCAAGCCAATATGGTCATTGAAATCCAGGACAAGACCTTATTACCTTATGTAACGTGTCATGGTTATGGTTACAGTATGTTGTGCTTTACTTTGCTCCATGTTTCCTAGTTTTATTGGTTTAATTCCTGTTTTGTTGTAGTTTCTAGATTAATGTTAGTTTTCTCAGGTTTTTCTGTTATTTTCCTCTGTTGCCCTATTGTGTGTTCCTTTCGCCTTGCCTCCCCCGTTGTCTCCTCTCACACCTGCTCCTTGTCAGCTCGTTAGCCCTGCCATTGTGTGCGTCTCAATTCGCAGGCTGCGTACTTGGTAGTACGCATTTTGAGGCCGGTGACGTCACAATGCTGCGCGGAGGCCGTCCCATTTGGCAAAAATTCTGAGGACGCTTAAAATGCAGCCTCAAAATGCGTCCTCCTTTTCCCCGAATTCTGAGGATGCATCGCTACCGTCCTTAGTGGCCTCGCCTCCCACTAGATTTCCCGAGGTGCTTTGCGCGCTTTTTTTTTTTTTTTTTTTTTTGAAGAAAAAGAAGAAGAAAGTCGGATTTTCTTCAAATTACGGACAACCGAAAGCAGCAGCAGCGCCGACAGTAGTGCGGAGAACACCTTTAAATGTAAGTAGTTTTTTTTTATTTTTTTTTTTTATGAACATCTATTAAAATACTTGACGGTAACGGAGCCACCGGAATGTGTAGGAGCAGCTAAAGCTAAGAGCTAACCTGTTGATACGTGATGCTCATCAACAATTAAAAGCCTTCAAACAAATGTCACTATTTTTTATTTTAACCTACATCTTACTGTACTGATAGCCGTATCCCTCACCAATCAGATCATTTTATTCCCAAACAGTTTATTACAAAGGATTAGAGCTGTTAAAGCTTAATGCATCTGAAGAAATAACATTAGTCCAGCTGTACTGGGCTGTCAATACTGCAAACGTTTTGTTTTAATACTCAATAATGTATAGTTTATTTAAAGTACAGTATAATAAGGTTTAAAGTATAATTCACTTGAAGAACAATACAGGCGTAATTATACAGAACAGTCATTTTGCCTGTTGACTTAACAGAAATATGCTTTACATGTCATTTTGTTCCAGGGAGCAGACAGAGGAGTGGATAAAATGACCACCTTATCATCGGGGCCAAAAATACTGCTGCAGTCGGATGGAGGGAAGAGGCAGAATTCCATCTACATGTTGCATTTCTATGTAAAAGTCACACAAGTTAAAAGAAGTCCTGTTCAAACACCAACGTACAAATATAATCTTTTGATCACATCAAATGATGCTCAGATGCCACTTTTTGTAAATCTCATATGTGTGATAGAAGTGATCCTTGTGTGGGACAACTTAAAAAAAAATACAAAGTATGTTCAGGTTTGGATAATGTATTGAAACACACACACACACATATATATATGTATATGTATGTGTGTGTGTAGGGAAATTACATCTTTCATTTATTATATTCATGTTACCATTCCAGTCTTTTTCTGTAGAATTTCATCAATCCATCCAAATCATGAAACCTTCCTTTTTTCTAGCTTTAAATGAAACACTACAGAAAATAGCATCTGTTGACACACATTGTTTTCCTCTACTATAGGAATACAAAGATCCTTGGACAGGGCAGCGGGTCAGTGGGAATCCTACTGCTGCCACCTGGCCCTGGTTTGTCCTCATGGATGAGGTATTAGGACAGAGGCCCTCTGTTGCCCCACCTGTCCTAATTGCCTCCATCCCTGAGGAAACACCAGGGCTAGATGCTGCAGAGGCTGAGCAGCATCAGGGTGAAGATGAGGAAGAGAATGAGGATGAGAGAGGAGGGAAAGGAGGAAGAGAAGAAGGAGTGACGAGTTGGTGGATTTAATCAGGGAGGAGATGAGATGGCAGAGGGAGGCGGGAAAGGATGGACAGATTATTTCATTTATTGGAGAGGATGGTGGACAGATGTTATTATTTTTTTGGTGTTTTTTTTTAACAAGTTGAAGTTCTGTGTTGCTGTTATGGTTAAATTAAATTATTAAATTGTTTATAAAAGTTATTGCTGTCGGTGTGTTCTTAAAGACCTTTAACCTTTTTACATGATCTGTTTCATCACTTCTTTGTAATTTAAGTAAACTTAGAACAACTTCTCAGTGACATCAGTTTATTTTTAGAGAAGCAAGTATTTACAATAAACTATTAAACATTTTTAACTATTGACATTAGATTTTAAAATTAACTACTACAACTATTTACAAAAGATATACAGTAAATATTACTAGAGAACATATATATACAATTGTGACTGAGCAGGAGTCCCTGGTGGTGCTGGACTGGATGGGATGCCACACAGATGAGCTTGGAGTCTTCTGACTGCGAGTGGGACATCATCTGGAGGGTGGGGGGTTGCCTCTCTCCACTGCTGATCCAATCGATGGCTGCCATGTTACTAAAAATGTTCAAGAAGACGCAGAAAATAATGACTTTACTAAAACTGTTTTTATAACCCTGAAATAAGAACAGCTAAAATGTGATTCTACTTGCCATCTAAGTGTAACGGTGGTCAGGTAGACCCTCCTCCAGGGCAGACACCTCAGCAGACAGCTGGTCCCTCCAGTGAGCACCACTGACTGCCTCCAACACGTTCTCCCCCTCCTCATCCTCTGGCATGTCGTCCTGCTCTTCATCCTCTGGGGCTGTTATGACCTGTAGAAAAAAAAAGACAAAAATATTTATTATTATTCAGTCATTTATATTTTTTCCTTATCTTTATTACATGATTTATTAGAAATTAAATTTTACTTCATCTAGATCCACTATTTAACTTATTTTTTATGTTTTTATATTTTGATTTTTTTTCCTGTATTATGTTTATATATATATATATATAATTGCAAATAAAATCAGGCAGTAAGGGGATAACAATTTAGACAAAAAGGATTTATTTCTCAACAGTTTGGCTTCTCAACACGACATTAGTGATAGTGAAAGTAGTGATTTAAGTTATTTACAGGGTTTGTACACATTTAACTATTCAATTCAAATTACTAAAGTTACAAACAAATAAATCACAAACTTACAAATAAATATAAAATTTGATATTTAAACCTATTCATCAATCTGCTGACAAGCGTTTATTTAATAACTGGTATATTCTGATCATTAGCAGGCCCTGTGGGTTAGAATAATAGCAGGTAGATCTTACCTCTCCACTGCGCTCTGCCAGCCTGAGAAAAATCCGTCGCAGGTTTTGCTGCCGCCGAAGCCGTCAAAGCGACTCTCCTCCTCCAATAACAAGTAAATAAAAAAAATAAAAATGTCCATATCTATTTTTTTGTTGGTTCTTTCCGTATTTCTCGAGCTGTCGCATTTTGTTTTGCGCTGTGTTTGGGGTAAACGTGATGACGTCGTGTCGCAATCAGGAAGTGCTCCAAAGGCTAGACCGTCCCATTTACCAACGGCTGAGGATCCTCCGGAGCAGCCTACCGAGTCTGGGTCCTCCGGAGGCTAGGTAGGCTGCGTCCTTGGAAGTACGCAGCCTGCGAATTGAGACGCAGCCATTGTCTCAGTCAGCTACATATACTCCCCCTCTGCAGTCACTCCTTGTTGGTTCCTTGTCGTTGCTGGCTTCTCATGTTGTTGTCTTCATACCTCGTCTCTCCCTGGCTCCTCGTGTTTGATTTCCCCTGATGTCTCCATGGTTCTGGTTTGCTTTACATTTTTAGTTGGATTTTTGGATTCCTGCTTTTGTTAAACAGTTTCCTTTTATTAAATCTGCAAGAACTCACCTCTGCCTCCCTGCCTCTGCATTTGGGTCCACAAACATCAACCAAAGCGTGACAACATTCAAAAAATGTGGATATTTTTATCGCAAAATTTTATGTTATTGTAATAACCAGAAACGCCAACTCGCCCCAAATATATTAAGAAAAATAACAAAGGTGCTTCTATAAGAAATTCATGAAAAAGCACACTGAGAGTAAAAGGAACACATTTTCTTGGTACAACATAACATTAGAGGTAATAATGCTACGACGGAGTATTAGGGCCAGGTTAGAGATTTAAAAAAAAAAATTTTTATTTTGAGAATAAAGTTGTAACATTATGAGAAAAAAAGTTGTAATATTACGAGAATAAAGTTGTAATATTATGAGAATGAAGTCATCATTCAACAACCTGTTTCAGGAAGAAAGCTTGAAGCTCCGCCCAGCAGATGACAGCCGACCAGCTCAACCAATCAGCAACCTGAGTCCACTTTGCTATCCTGCCTAATTTGATGCCGGTGCTAAAAGATTTCCTTATTTCTAAAAACCGTTGCCAAAGTATACCTTCACATGATGCTCGACATTCCTCATTTTAGTGAAGAAAGTGCTTCTTGTAAGAGTTTTTTATAAAATACAACTTGTTTCTCGTAATTTTAGGACTTTAT